AAATCAAATCAGAGATAATGACTCATCGTAATTTACGATCGATGTCATTTTGGGGAGAGGAAAGTCAATGATGAAGATTTATTCTTAGAAAGAAATGATTCATGTAACTCAAAGCAAAGTATTACACATATCTTCATATTCTCTTCAATGTAAATGACATTAATCGAATTTTTTAAATAAAAGAACAAATATTGACAATGCGGGTAATTCATTTGTTCAGATATTCCTATTACGGAACAGCAAATTTATAAAACATGAGATATGAGTCTTTTCGTTAAACACGTTCGCGAAATTGCGACAAAAAAACATGTTGTATTCAACCATAATAACAAACAGTTGAAAAAAATATTAGATTCAGCAAGTGCATTTCACATCGGGTGTCGTACTCTTTCCATACGCCACGTTGTGGCATATTTCTATTAAAATTCTCAATTACTTTACTAAGATTCGCAGCAAAATATCCTGCTTTAATTTCTGATTGAGGCTGAAATTAATTTTTTACAATATACTTTCTCTATTAACATTTTTAATTAAACAAAAATATTTATTTTTATCTATTTCGATAATACATTTCAAAGTTGAATTATGAATTTATATCTTTTATATATTTATTCTGAAATTTTATATTACATATATATGATGTGAATATATTTTCCACTAATATTTTCTATTAATTTTTTATTATTTTTATTTTTTATCTTTATTTATTTTTCTTACTTATATCGTTCTATTCGTTTTTTATTATTTATTACTTTCTTTTAAGTTAAAACAAAATTCTTTTTATTGATTTTTATAGTTTTAAATTTCCACCATCTTAATTTTTATCTTTTATCTCTAACGTCTACGAAAGAAATGTCAGAAGTTTCGTTCTGCTGGGAAAACTATACGAACGTAACAGGGATTTGGATTTGTAGAATATTATTTGACGGGTAAACATTGATTTTATCTCTCACATAAATGTATGAAGCTCTTCAAAAATACGTACAAATTTCAAATACAAACATTGATATTTCGTTGAGAATTTATATAATTATAAATATTAATTTATTTATAGCACACGCATGCTTATTTAAATATTTATATACATATTTTATTAATTTATCTAAACTTTATCATATTATTTAATTTAAGAAAAATATTTTTGTAGCATACACCATTCGATATAAAATATATTATATTATATTCTACTGTGTAGATTGTCCCATACGACTTCAAATGTCGCTAAAAATAATGTGATAGAAATGGATATCGTATATGAAATATTATCTTTAACGTAGTATTTAAATATTTATAATTAATATATGCACTGTTATAATACATACGATGCATCAGGAAATGTGTCCTAATTTGCTACATGAAATAAATAAACTTTTAAGTTATACAATATAAAACTAAATAAGAAGGAATATAAATAAAAACTGAATTCTTTTTGCCCGTATAATGTCTTATTTTGAAGACATGAGCTACCTGCTTTCGGCTGTGCCTGCGTCCGATATCGAAGACTTGAACAAGAAATGAGAATAAACATGTGTAAAAGAATATTCAGAACATAAGAGCTTTGTATACGACTGTGATTGTTGGAGACTGTAGAGTAAAAAATATTAGAGCGCGTGCACTCGATGCATATTTCCGTTTCATTGAGAGTAGAAATGTGAAATTATAGTCGAACAATTATATATAAAACTCACACACGCTTCACCATAACTTGTTTCTTCTACTTTATTGTTTCTACTCACTATGTGCTCAAAGCAAATACGTAATAATATGAAAAAAATAAAGAGATAAAGAATCTTTATAACTTTTAGATATTACGACTATATAAATGTTTAGAAATTATGACTGTAAAACGCGAATCTTTAATACTTACAATCAGACATTAATTTATTCGCTGAATTATCTATTTATTTAAAATGATTTAGATTAATACATCCGAAAAAATTTATCTGAACAGCAATTAGTCTGAATCGTTTGTTAATTAAAATTCAAACTGTTCATTACGAGACATAAAATAGAAATTAATTGCTAAATTAGGTAAAATTTATTGAACCACTTTTTTTCTGTTTTTTCTTGTTTCTTCTGTTTTAAAAATGTTTCTCAGAAAAAAATGTCTGCTATTCATTTATGTAATTAAATTGATAATTAAAAATCGGGAAATGTTCCTAGAATCTATTTTAATCCAATTACATTATGTTGTAGACGCGATTATGTATAAAAATAAAAAATCTCCGGATATTCTTCTCCACCTTAACGATATATACCAGAACAAAGAGTTACTTCTCAAAATAACGGGTGACTCAAAAAGTACGCCTTCGATTGCATCGCGTCGAGCATCAGGACATCTATTTATAAGTGCATGTTTTTCGCGCTAGTTTAATATATCCCAGAACAAGCAACCAGACAATTTATAAGCTAGACAATTTATAATATTTATATAAATAAATATTTCGACTTTTGAACATTTACATGACACTTAATGAGATTTAAGAAAAAAATAAACTATACACGACCAAAATAACTGCATCTTTCAGAAGCAACATTGGCTAAAGAGAAAAAAGTAGTGTCATTGCCTTCGTGATAAAAATAACGCAAGTTTTGCGGTGTGACACGATTACGCATTAAAAACCAAATGGCAGCAATCAAATTTTTTGAGTTCGACTAATTTTGCAGCAATTATGCAACTTATTTCTATTATATAATTAAGATTATAAAATATGAAAAAATTCACATAGGATATATTGAGAGATTGAATTTTTTTTTCAATACTATAGAAAATTATAATTATCAGTACACAAACTTCAGGCTCGTTTTGAATAGACTGGATAGCGTTTCCTAAAAAATAATTACAATTAAATTTGATTTTTTGTATGATACTTTACGACCAAGTGTCTATACTCTACAAATAAACTAAACCCTATTTAGCCAGAAATAATTAATCAAATCGATGCGTAATAAACGATTAATACAAATACTGATATTATTTTTTGTCATATTTTACTTTATTATAATAATTTCTTTATAATTCAGCAATTGCGAATATTTTTATAAAGTTTCTATTGCCTTTGAAGCAACTTTATATATAGAATTGAAGCAAATAAGTTCTGCAAAAGTACATGCAGCATATATATCTATGTATTTAAGTAAAACTGGTCGCGAAAACAATAGAAATCTTATGTACAAATATTCGTAACTGGTCAACATAAAACAATCATAACGATATCTATAGATAACAAAAATATCAAGTAACAGCTCAAATAGCAGACATCCACTGAACATCCAATGGATGTCGTGTGCTGCCTAGGGATATTCGACACCGATTATTCACATTGACGTCGAGTCAACGATCAATTCCAACTGGATACAAACGAAATAAAAATAGAATGTAAATTAACGAATTTAAATAAATGAAAACGATTTTACCATGAAAAATATATAAGATTTCTTCTTTTCATAGCCACAAAACGGAAACGAACAAAATAGCGGAAAACTAGCGTCATCTATTAAGAAATTTTCCAATTACAACCATATTACTAAGATTTTAGTCACGTGAGTGTAGTGGTAGCTATTAATACAAAGAAATGTAATTAAACATCAATTTGAAAGAAGTGCACAAAGTTCAATTATCACTCAACTTGACAAACTAAATCGAAAACTTGAAATAGTCGTGTGTATTCGCGTGTCGAAGAAAAAGAAAACGACCGCAGGTGCAGAAAGTGTAACTGAAAGGAAAATATTCAACGCTACGCGCAATATTCCAAGCTGACCACGAAACCAAAAGAGAAGTTCGTTCTTTCCATGTGCAGATTCCGCTTTCTCTATTCCTTCTCTCACTTCATCTCTTTCGCGCTACCGAGTCGCGAACGCATGCTCGGTCCCATTCATAGTGCAGAAGATCCGCAGAAGGTGCAACGCGACGCGACGCGACGTGGTGCGGCCGGAAGAAAGGGACGAAAAAGACGCTCCGTGAGCGCAGCGTCTCGCCGGGTGCCGCTTGACTAGCGCGCCAATTGGCGCGCGCATCGCGGCGCGCATGCGCCGCCGCGCAGTTGACCTTGACGGGAGCGAACGGCTGCGTCGACGGCAGGCGCCCGTAAACGCTTCGGAAAGAGGCATTCGGGACGAGGTAGAGAGGAGGGAGGGGAGGGGGGGGGACCCGAACGGAGCGGGGGGAGGGGAGGCACCCAGCGCGCGTTCCGTGTCGCCCATTGTTGTCCTCGTCGCGCGTAATGGCCACCGTGAGCCGTCGTTAACGCGTCGTAAGGTACGCCATATCGCATCCCGGCCTAGCCCGTGCCACGGATAACGCCGTGAATCTCGTCCAGCCGCGTAACACCGCGCACGACGGTATTTACGCGGTCGCTACCGCCGTCAAACGAGGTGCGGACAAAGTGCGAGCGAGCGAGGTGAACAAGCGAGGAAGCGGGACAGAGCGGGCGAAAGGGAGCGACAAAGAGGAAACGACGTACGCGACGAGGAAGGAGCGGCGGCGGCCGCGCCGCGCCGCGCGTTTCGTACCCACAGTCGCCGCAACCGCCACCGCGCCGCTCTACGCAGCCGACCATGATTTGCGCGGGCCGACGTTGACAAGCGTGTGACGAAAAGAGAGGTGATCTGTTCGCGCGCGCTTAAAACCGCGTGCTGGAGTATAATAACGAGCGCGCATGGTTGGACGAGCCAAGCCGATCCCGCTCCAAGCCAAGCCAAACCAACCCAAGCGAACCCGAGCCGAGCCGAACCGAAACGAACCGGACGGAGTAGTGGGTGAACGGAACACGGGAGAGAACTCCAAGACGTCGCGATTTCGGATGACGCAGCTCCGGCATCGGAAGTTACCGTTGTGTGAGGAAGCGTCCGTCGAAATCGAACGCCATTGATTTCTCGCGCGCGGCTCCAACAGCGCGGCGATAAGAGCGTCGCGCGCGCGGCACGCAACACGGTGTGGGAAGAGTCTCGCCGCGCTACCCCCCCCTCCCTCCCGCCCCCCACACCCCACGACCGCTCTTCTTCCTTCGTAGATGCTGGACGTGAGCCGCATCGTGTGTGCTTACGGCGACGTGCATGCCCGCGCGTACCCGCGAGGTCGTCTTCGTGGTGCCTGCCTCGCGGCAGCTTGCGCCGCCACCACCACCGCCGCCGCCGCCGCCGCCGTCATGGCAACTAGAGGATCATCGGTTACCGTTCGGCAGCCGGACTATTAACCCCGCGGCCCGTCGGAATATTACACGTGAGTATGTTTATTGTACGACCACGTTCGCGCGCCTGTTGGTTCGTCTCTTCCTCTTACCGCGCGCGCCAAACGGCCTGAGCGAGGCCTGGCATCGTGCTTTTTTTGCCCCCGCTGCGTCCGTCGCGCCTGTGTCTGAACGCGTCCCTCTTCACCCTTGCCGTGTTCTCTGGCCGGGGTGTTGTTCATCGGGGACCTCCTGCCGGTTGCTTCTCGCATACCTCGCACGTTCTCGCTTGAGCCGACAGTTTATAACGACCGCCTATTGATTGTGCAGGGTCAAAGGCAATACATCAATGGCCCTAGAATCAAATGGCAACAACGTGGTGTGGTTGAACACAACCCGTCCTGATCAAATACAGCAGGTATGCGTCGCGCGTGAGGCAAGCGAGGAAGCGTGTATATTTGCGAGCACACAATGATCGACTGCTGATCAGTTTTATTTTCAAGTATTCCATATCTAACTTGTGGCTCGTATTTACGAGAATAAAATGCCTGTAGTTATATAATTTCTCAAATAATTTATGCATTCTATATCGGAGCACCTAATGCACCTTTCTGATCAACAGAGTCAACCGATCGAGCAGCCATTGAAGTGTTCCATGTTTACTCAAACGGAGCAAACTAATAGCTTTACCCAAACGGAGCAGAGCAATTCGAGTTACGGAGACCAGAGACAGGTACGTCTATTATCTTATGATAAATGAAAAGAAACGAATTCAAGTTTCTACTCTCTAATTGTATTTAATGTTTCTTTTCTACAGCAGCAAACAGCAATGTTTGACCCTCAGCAGATTCAGCAGCAACAAGCTGCTGCGCAGGGTCAGCAGTCGCAGCAGCAGCAGCAGCAGACCCAGCAGATGTACGTCACATCGGACAAGAAGGAGGACAAGTCTCAACAGCAGCAACAGACGACCACTACTGAGTTCCCTTCCTCTTTCTATTACAACGTCAACATGTTGCAGAAGGTTCAGACAAATGCGGTGAGCACAATTAGTGCAATCACCGACGATAAAGGTTGTTATCGTTTCGATGTTCAACCTGTCGGTTATAATACATTGCTAAATCAGATGAGTATTGCTGCTGCTACCGCAAATGCAACCTTCAAGTGTGAGATTTGTGGCCTGGTCTTTGGTCATATGAGCCTGCTGCAGCATCATAAGCGGATTCATACCTCAACGCCCAGTAATCTGCAGCAGCAGCAGCAGCAGCAGCCACAGCAGATTGTGGTACAAACGCCAACAACAGTGACTGTCGCCACTACACCAGAAAGACCATATACTTGTGACATTTGTGGAGCGTGTTTTGCATTACCAGGAGAATTGAAAAGTCACAAAACAAATATGCATCAGAAACCAAAGGTGCAAATTTGTGAAGATTGTGGCAGTGAGGACCCATGCGAACATCACCCAACTAAAGTTAAAAAGAGTATGTCAATATTAATTAATTTCAGCTATAGCTAGTGTTAATTTTATGGTCATATTGATTTCAATAATAATGCAAATAAATGCAATTATTTTGTGGCATTAAAAATTTTTTTAAGATTTTTACATTGTGGAACTATAGATTCTTGTATAAAATATTATGTACTGTAATTCTTATACAATGTAGAAGTTATATTCAGAGTTGATAAAAATTATGTTTCATCGAAAATGTCGATTGAGCATATTTTAATTATTAAACATATTTGAAACATGCTTGATTGACATTTTTAACATATTTTTAAATATGTTTTTCATAACATTGTTTAAGGCATGTATGAAGCATTAAAAACATGCTTTTAAAAAATATTTAATCAATTCTGTTTTTATTATTAAAATCAATTATTAAGTTCAGACTGATATTAGACAGAGAGTAAGGAGATGAAATTTATTTAACAAAATATGCATTTGTTTGTGTAGCTATCAAACCTGGTCATCATCCTGTGAAACGAAGGGGTGTTACCAGTGTTACCAAATGTCACAAGTGCAACGGCACCGGAATTATTTTTATTGGTAAGCATCATTTGTTAGCTCTCGGCCACTGATTGGATGTCACTTAATACCCTTAATAAGCCGAAGAAAGATGTTGCTGATAAAGCGTTTTGAAAGCATCCAAAGTTTATATATATTTTAAATTTTATGTTAATATAAACGTTCTAACAAGGAATTATGTAGTATATCCCAATATCAGCGACATTTTATTCAGATATTTCGTCAACCTTTTCCCTTCATACTTTTCATTGCTATCATGATCGTACATCGGGTGATATATGGTAGGTAAACACGACGAAAAACTAGATTCCGGAATCAGTTCCCTCGCAAAGTGTGGCGGCTGCAAGGCTACAGGCCGCATCGTCATAGGAAGTAAGTCGGATATAATTATCGTCAACACAGAGTATGGAATCTGTTTTGCGATTAGTATGTCTGAGTAATATCGTGTCTGCCTTTGTGATGATGACAGTTCAAATTTATTCTCTGTGATAACTTCAGTATTTGCAGTTTTATTGATGTTTGAGTCACAACGCGCCAACACATAATTTTATAGAACATTGAATTTTATTATAGAGAAATATATTGGAATTACATTTTTTTATTATATTATATACATAGTTTTATGGACTCTCTGAAAACTCGACGTTTAAATTCAATTTAAGTCAATTAATAAACTCTTCCAAAACGTATTTATTATAAATACTCGACGACATTTTAAATAGTTAAATAAATACACGTCGAATGTTTTATCAATAAATTTAAATCAATATCTGTAAATGTCGGATTTTTGCTATTGTTTTTATTTAACGTTACTTTATTTTTGCTTGCATGTGTTCTTGTAGGTAAAATATACATTTCTGTTATCTTTCTTATTTTGTTCGTCTATTGTTTAATATTCTTGCTATCTCGATTCTTACAAAGTGATTGTGATTATTTCATTTTGCTGTTATTTCTTCTTTCTTGTTAGTAGAACTGTCGACATCTAAATTTAAGAACAATGGCACAGAATAAAAATCTCCCCTAAGGGACAGTTTTATAAATTATAAAATCGCCAAATTTTTATATTTTCTGTACGTAAGATGAACTTATTAAATTTTCGTTCGGCTATTTATAATTCTTTCACTTTATTTCGCGATATAGCTCATTGGAGATGATTTCACCATTTTTCATAGAGTAAATTACGTAATAAACAAAACCGCAAAGTCTCATATTGCTTGTGGCGTTCAGATTTTCTCAGTGCACTAACTTTTATAACAACCCGCATGATCAGATTGTTTCATACAATAATCTTTACATTCAATCATTCATTTTGTGATTTCATATTCCATGTCCATTCATATTCCATTTTTTGGATATAAGAACAAAAATGTAAACATTAGTATCACGAACTCATATCGCATAGATTCATAGATTCCTCGCGAAATAACTTCGAGCTTATTATACTTTTGTAGAACTGGCCCTTCGAGGAAAACTAAAGCTTTCTTTATGCTTTCAATTTCAGGTGGCAAGCAAAACAGTCAAAATCAAGCGGAGAAACCATTTCATTGTAACGTTTGTGATGGTACATTTTCTCGATATTCTTCACTCTGGTCCCATAAAAGACTTCATTCGGGAGATAAACCATTCAAATGTGAAGTTTGTGGTTTAGCCTTTGCTAAGGGTAAGTAGACGATTAAATTAATTAATTAAAAAAACATTAAGATAATGACATATAATCCTTTCTATGCATACTGACTAACTAAAGATTATGTAAGCTTATTTTCTAGTACAATTTTGATTTCTTTTCCTTTATAGCTGCCTATTTAAAGAATCATGGAAGAGTGCATACTGGCGAAAAGCCGTTCAAATGCAACGTTTGCGGCATGCAGTTTTCGCAGAGTCCACACTTGAAGAATCACGAACGAATTCATTCTGGCGAGCGACCTTACCAATGCGAGGTTTGTGAAAAGACGTTTGCCAGACATTCAACGCTCTGGAATCACAGAAGAATTCACACTGGCGAGAAGCCATATAGGTGTAATATCTGCGGATCCGCCTTCAATCAAGCCACGCATCTAAAAAATCACGCAAAAGTCCATACCGGTGAAAAACCGCATAGGTAACATTAGCACTCATAGATCTAGTTGACGAAGTGCGTGTCTTTTTCGCATGCATGACATTTCCTTTGTGTTTTTAGGTGCGATATATGTGAGATCGGCTTTTCCGATCGTTTTGCATTGAAGCGTCATCGTGCGATCCACGAGAAATACGGTCAGACGGCGCGAAATCAGAATGCGAATAACCCAGCAAACGCACAGCAGGCCAACGCGAGTAATCAGCAGCAACAGTCACAGCAGCAGCAACAGCCGCAGCAGGCGCAACAAGGTCAGGTTGTGGTCGTGAATGCGACTACTCCTGTCACTGTCAGCCAAGGGCAAGGCCAAGTTATACTCGACGAGGTCTACAAGTGTCAGGTGGCCTTCCCAGAGCCTAAATGATTCAGCTAGAGAATACCTTTCAGGAGTTGGTAAAGAGGTTAACTTTTTTAACCTTTTTTTTTTAATATTAATTTCGAGAACGGCAAAATCCATGGATATAATATAAAAAATAATGGATTTTACTCTAAAAGAGTCAAGTGAATCCTACATGAGTGACTGTGAACAGCGCATCTCTTTTTTTGTGTATGTGCGGCCACTCGGATTTAAATATGGATAAAGATATTAAGGGTAAAAAAACGGAAAAAGAAAAAATAATGGACGGAGAGACTCTGCGTGAAACTTGTGCGAGTGACAAATTTCGTGGAATATATCCTCGGAAATTTAATTCGTAATATACAATTGGACGATTTAAAACCGCCAATCAACGAAGTCTTTTTGTGAAGTAATAGAGAAAAAATATGTCTACCTTTATATTTTGCCATTCGGAAAGGTGGAAAAAAAACAATTAAACCGTGTCGCGGCATACATTTCGTATATTAGTTTTCTAAAATAAAACAAAAAATGTAATGTAATCGTATCATTCTTTCATACATATGTAATAATCGTTAATTTGTCCATTGAGAACAAAATTGCTATACGTCTTGCCGTTTCATGAATGGCATTGTGCAATAGTTCCGACAAATTTTACGATTAGCCCGACAAAGTGTACTTTCGAATGATTGTAACAACGGAGGATTGCGACGGCGTGTGTTTCGGTAATGAAAAGCGCAAGTATAAGGTATCGAGTATTTTTTCCCTTCTTTTAGCAAATTTAAAAATTATGTTGAAAAATGCCCAAACCTCGGCCCTTTCAATTTTTCTCGATATCATGATGATAGAATGTGCGTTTCTCAGTGTTTAAAATATCAATAATGTTTAAAGTATCTATTTAATTTCGACCGTATAAATTATTTATCTAACAATTGATAAACACGCTAGTGAGCATGTAGTTAACGAAAATTCTGTACAACGCCGCGGGTAATTTTGTACTTGCGGATAGCGTGGAACGGAACGACATCGCGATTTGTGCGAGCTCTCTTCCGTCCAGTCATTCGAGATCAGAAGGCATCACTGACGATGACAACGATCATTATGAAAAACTGGGGAGTAGTGCGGCATACCTATATAATTCGTTGGGGCTGCAATAATAATAGTGAATATTGACGGGCAAGCAAAACCGTTTTATAATTTTAAGAAGCCGCGAACGATATGAATATATTATAACTGAATAGTTGCTAGTTTGTAACAAGTAGCAAAGCTAGATTATATACATATAAATATATATATATATATATACATTAATTTTTATATCCCCACTTGTTAAAGCGATCCCGCACCGTCGCTACTTTTAAGTATCAATGATCACCAAACGAATAGATTATATCTATATTGATAGCTGCACACATTCATGATTGGTGACTTGTGTGCTATACCACTTTCAATCTCACTTTCAAAGTTATTATTTGGATACTCTCCCGAAAATGCTTTTGCAATTGTTACGCAATTTCAAATGCAAATGTTTCTCCTTTTATTTATTTATTTTTTTTTGCATTTTTACTCGCAAACTCGTCACTGACAAAGAAACTCATGGAAGTGTTTTCCTCTATAGTTTTAATGAGCTTTAAATATATTGTTTTCGAAACAAAAATAAAGGACATGTATTTTTTCTTGTAAAGGCTCAATCGTACTTTTAGAAATAGAGTATATTCTTATGAAGAAAATCGGATTTTTCTTCTCTAATTTATAAAAAAAAAAAGTATTCCTATTCTTGTCTAAAAAGCAACATATTCAAAACTCATCAAAATCAGAAGAAAACACTTCGATGGGCTTCTTTGTGAATTATTTTCGAACAATAGTCTCTCTTTTTTTGTATAATTTTAAAAGATTTTATAATTGCAAAGAAGATATTAGCGGTTTAAGGGTGTCCAAAATAATTCTTTTTATACATGAAACTGATGTATTAAGTATTCGCGGAGAGTTTTACAAGACAGTCTACGTAATTACCTATAAATTTGCCATTCGGAATCTGGAGAATTGGGGATATTTCTTTGTTTTACTAATTAACTTGTAAAATAAAGGTACACAATTACATAATTTTACTTTTATATGATAGTAATACCTGTTACAGTATTTTCAATTAGACTAGAAACTTTTATGCTGAATTTCCTATTCTCGTGTTCGGTTTTTTCGGGATTAGAAATAGAGGTGTCTAAATCGTGACTCACGTGCAATTAATTTTATAGTTCATTTATCATCACTTTGTGTTGCAACTTCGCTGCGCTTGTGACTTTTGCGAACTGTTAATTCGCAAAATGGTCTTAGCTACATAATGAATTAGATAAGCTCGAGTAAATACGGTCAAAGACGGAGAAACTGGTGGTGATATATGTGCTCGAAACTCCAAACTGTCGGGAGTCACAGATTAGATATACCTAAGTTAAAATATGAATCATAGTCAGCACATAATGCAGCATCGTCAGTTCACCACGAAACGGCAATATTTTGTTCTCTCTTTCTGTACTGCGAAAAAAAAGAAAAAGATTTTTCCATTTTAAACCGATGCATGAATCTATTTTTTACGTTGATTATGAGGATGTAAAATAAAATAAAGATAATCTTCAATTTTAACATTTTAGTACATTTTGCACAGTAGCGATATTTCTTTTTTTTTCCGTTTTTTTTAAACATTTGTTCAGAGAGAACCCATCCCGATAAATAATTTTATCGAAGCGAGAACGTCACACTTCAGTATTCTATATATTTACTAAAGTAGGCGCAAATAATTCAATCGTTTCACTGCAGACAGTATTATTACAGTTGTCACGTTTCTTTCTGAGCTGGTGCACATCGAATAAACGAACAACGAAGATGGAATCGAAGTACCTTTCGAATCGAATGTTGATGGAATCATTTTAATCGAACATTATGATGTATACGTATATATTTGGCATCTCGTACATATTTTTCAAAATATTAATAGCAAAAATTTTGAAAACTTCGTTGTTTCGTTTATTCGTTGCGCAAACATTTTCTTTCACTAATAACTAAAATTATAACTTAAAAGACAGTAACGCAGAAGGGTGACAATAAAGCGATTCTCGTATATTTCACAATCATGTCCTTGTCTTGTAAAATTAGAAGAAAAATGCGCAGTATTGGTAAACAAATAGGTTTAGCTATTAAATCAGGCGAGGCTAATTGTTTTTCGATATATCTCAAATCCGTAATTCAGCGAAAGAAATTATTTTAGTCCGTTGCTCACGTTTGTTTTCTTTATGTGACGATCGAAAGTTAATCGAACAAAATTATTTTACAAGAATTGACATCTAGGACGCTTAATATATTTTCTTTTGTCTTATCGCCTTCCGCTTTTTTCTCTTAAATAAATTTTACAGACTCCTTCAGGCAGACTTTCCGAGATATATTCGATATTTATATAAATATTTATATATATATAAAACGCACATTAATATATAATTATGTGAGTATAAAGTGAGTAAAAAATTTACTTTGCCACAGTTTCATGTTATTTTATGATCGAACATTTGTGCCTGGAAAAAAACAATGATATCTACATTCACCTGCAGAAACAGATTAAGATTGTGAAGATTACGATTAAAAATATTTCAAAATCGAATAAGGAGGGCTCTAATCGTTGTCGCGGAAATAACATGATGTAAAAGAAAGTACAGAATAAGAATCACTACGCGACAATGTGAACAATGCTCTCGACACGATGCGATCTTCAATTATTAATATTCATGTGAAATTTATTTTTTTGTGGGGAAAAGTTTCTATTTTGATTACATCGCTCTAATATCGAAACTGTGATCAGATGGTCAAATTTACAGTAGTATATGGCTTAAATAAGCGTTCTCATCAAAACTTAAGACAAATATCCTTAAAACTGTTCACGAGCGAATACTTTGTGTTGACGATTGCGCGGACGAAATCTTGTTTCGACGATACTTTTGTACAATTATATCTGCGTCGAAAAAAGAAACTTTTAATACAGGGATTGAAGAAAATTGTGGAAATTGCTAAGTGATCAGAGTGAAGTGTATGAATGTAATTAGATGAAAACGAATTGATAGACGCGACTCAGTAATTCTAAGTAAGTCTAACTTGTCGAGAATTGCTGCTGCAGATACGGCGCTGCGTTTCAAAATTCGTTATTATTTTGTTATTATTTCATTATCACGTTAACCGCGCGTTAATCTATTTTTCTCTATTTTATTTCAGTTTCTTATTTGCACGTCTGGATTGCGATTACGGGGCGCGGCGGAATAATCTCTCATGCGTGGAGAGAACCAATTTTGAAGCGGTGTGTCTTCCCGCAGCAATTCCATGCTTCGAGATAATATTTCGTAGGCGAGAAACTCAGAGCTTCCGTTTGAATCAAAATCGTCTGGAAGCGTCTTCCTTAATCTCAGTGTACTGAGTTTGCCGAAATTTCGCGATTTCGTTTGTACATACGTTCACGAAACGAAGACTCATGGCCGACAGGTATTGGAGATATATTTTCATTGCCATTTCGTCGCTATCCTCGTGCATCTATCGAGTATAACTCTAAGAGCCGTCGAGCGTATCAAACGAACGAGCAGTTCGATGAGGAACAACTATAATTTTGCACTGTTAAGGGTCGAGGTTTCGGAGCGGTGATTACGAAAGCCATATTGTTTTTCCGACAATGTTATTTGACTTGCGTTCCCCGGAAGAATATCACATACGGATCCCTGAAATCCCTTCAAACAACATTCGACCCTTCCAGCGTGGAACTCCTTAAAGGCCTGAGAGAAAAACGTCAATCGTTTTGCGCGCTTGCTGTAATTTTGTATTACAGGGTAGTAAACCGTGTCCGAATTTGTATATTTCCATTTGCCGAAACATACTATTTTTTTAATTGTAGCATTTTACTATATATCCGATTCGATGTAATTGATCATCATTTTTAGCGCATTCATCATGTACGAATGAAGGAGGTCACACCACCTGCGGATTGATTTGCCACGCCTCCCTGGTTTAATTTACGATATATCTAGATAGATATATATATCCTATCTATAACGATAGTTATAGTAGTGATTTTTTTTTATAATAAAACACGTTCCTAATAAATTATCTGTTCTTCATATGTCGTACGAATAAGCGTAACGATTGTAAAGGCGATATTCTGATACCAAGTACCGTGGATATCGTTACCCGTTGAGTGACGAAAATGTAAATTAGGATTAAACGGCCTCTCGTAACGTAAGGAAGACTAAACAGCCTTCGGAAGAGAAGTTACAATTTTCTAATCTAATCGACGCGTTTATCACGCATATACAATGACACGTGTGGGCTTAACTTCATTCACTCTCTTCCAAGAAACATTTTGATAATTGTAAAAAAGAAAAAGAAGGAAGAGAGGAGAAGAACTGTCGCGATATCTACACGTAATTACGAAGTAAAATAGAAAAAGGACACATGTTAGAATGCCATCGCTACGACTACCCTGTGTCGATACTTTCTACCGTTAGTTTTACGGAAATACTGGATGCCAACGTCTTCTTTTTAACCTCCCCCACCCTCCATTCAAATTTCTAATCCGATTATTTTGTATTGCGTAAGACTGACGTACGCGAAGAGATATGTATCTGTAATACGTTACTTTAATATAAATTAAGAGTCATCCTGTCGCATTATCACGCTCTATTTATGTTTCTGTTTCTTTGATCCACTCACAATTTCTCAATTCTCAGATGAAAGGAGTCGTTCTTTGCCATCATTGGTTTCACTTATAGTTGCACTTCCGAGTGCAATCGTAGACTCTCTTTTGTTCAGAATATGGTTGAAATAATAAACTAAAAATGTGGCGATGTTTATTGTGGATATTCAGTAGCGAAAGACTAATTACATGGAAAAGTGACGTCAGTTAAATTGAATGATATTTTGTAAATTATCAGATGCTATTTAAAAGTTTTGGTATTGGTATACAAGTACATAAAAAAAATGAGTAAATTTTAACACCATTGAATGTTTTTATTTTAGATAAAAAAATTTATCCGCTAAATTATTCATTGTATTGGTATCTATATATATTTAATACTTTTATATTAAAAAAATGTCATAGTTTCAGTCAATTTGATTGAAGTCACTTTCTCCAAATGATTAGCGCGGAGTCCTTTTCATGTGCCTATAAAATATTTAGAAAGTAGAACAAATTTAGAGAAATTAATTTTATTAGAATATTTTTTAAGAAATTTTTTTTGTTACAGTTGTAGAACTTCTTATTCACATCCAAACGATTAGTAAATGTTTTACATCAGAAAATAGGTCGAGTAAAAATTCTGAATAACAGAGAGTCCGCTACGATCAGTTACGATGTGAATAATGAAACGGCCGTTCCTGATAACTTGTTAAAATGCTATTTTACATACAAGGGGCAAGAAGGGAGGAAAAAGAAGTCGTAAAGAAGACGTCAGTTTTAGATTAGTCTGCTGTCAATATACGTAGAACGATAATTTTGAATGTAACGTGTATCATACTTGACTATCGCTTAGGTAACGTGCAAACCGTACCGAATAAAGGAAACTAGCGCACGATTATATCAGACATTAGGTGATAATAATAAAATGATGTCCGGGTACGGACATTTTCATTTTTCAAGGCTCTGGGTGACCTTTATTTTCGTCGTGTGAATGCGTGCGTGCGTGCGTGCGTGCGGGTGCGTGCCAAGAGAGACATACGTGTTATTTTATACATTGATTATAAGGAGAGATAAAACTTTGTAGAATTCCGAAAGGCCACAATAACCATCTACAAACTTATCATTTCGTTATCAAACCCGATTTTTGTCGAGGTTCCGCGCATCTTCTATGAAATTATTAGATACAAATTATGAATATCAGTTTTTTTTAATACGTCATTGATTCTCTCGTAATTGCATTGGATATCCCTAGAATTGCATAAAAATAATTTTTTCAATTCCTTGATTGATGTCTTCCTATTGTAAAAAATGTGGAGAAAGTTATTGCTTTTGTATATATATTTTTTTCGTTTTGAACATCAATTTCGACAATATAATCTTCGTTAAAATCGAAAATAGTGAAATACTTTTTTTCGGATTAAATACTTAATTCCTTTTCTAATTTTTATATCACTGTATCATTTGATTTACTTTGTATATTCTCCATCCTTTTTTACATACGAATTTTTCTCAGAGATCCCATGACATATTAAGTTTTTAATAAAGTGCCAATAACAGTTCAAATATAAACACAAGATTTATCATTTAAAAGCAAGTGTAACCGATACTTGTTAGCGGCTATTCATATCTTACCGATTTTTAATTGAATTTGAATTTTCCGGTTAATTGAAACATTTGTGTTCGCGTAAAGACGCGATTTTAACTGTACTATTAATTTAGTCGGTGATTAATTCAAATTGGTAGAACTTTATACTTACAACAAAAATTTTAACTATAATTTTTCATTCATAACTAAATTTCTTTTTTCTTGTCAAATAATAGAAAATTAATCATTTTATTTACATTGACAAAATATTATAGATATTTACCTGATAAATTGATCGCCGATAGTTTACATAATTGGAAACTTTGTTGTAAATAGAATCTGAGAATTGGAGTTTAATGGAAATCTAATGAAAGAAACAAAAAAGCTATATTTAAGTTAACAACAACAAACGTTTCGACACCGATGTTTATTGTTGTTAATTTAAATATAGTTTCTTTGTTTCTCTTTGTATTTTGTAATATATTTTTATTTCGGCTCGTTGCCCATTTAATTATTTAATATTTATTTATTATTGTCAAGACTTCTCTTTCCGTTATTATTTTTTAATGAAAGAAATTTATATATTATGTAATAGTTTGAAATTATATATTATAACTAGAATAATTTTTAATCTCAGTTTTACTTACTTTTCATCTTTTTCTCTAATTCTTAGAACTAAGAAAAGACATAAAGTAAATTAAACCGAGATTAAAGTTAATTTAAGAGAGTTGATAGAAATGAATATTAATTTATCAACTTAATCGGACTTCAAAGAGTTTAGGTTTGTTTCTTGTTGAACTTTCAGACTAGTGCCGACTGTTATTTATTACAGTGTAACGAAACTTAATGCAAAGGTTCACTGAATACTGATTGGAGGAGTCAATGTAAACAGTGCATGGTAAACGAAAAAGTGAAATAGCCGATAAAATAAAAAAGTAAGCATTTCTAAGACATTAAGCAGTAAATATAAAAGTAGCTCTCTTAAATAAAAAAAGACTTTGATATATTAATTATATTTTAATACATAGCACTTATTAAGATATGTAAATTAAAACCACTTACTATTCAAAGAATATGTAGTATAGTAATCGTAATATCAAACGTTAAATTTGTAAGGATAGATGAAATTTTGTGTTAATAATGTATTGTAAGAGCTGGACTGAGAAAAAATGTCACAGGCGCTCCACCGGTGACGGAACTTGAACCGAGGCCACGAGTCAACCATATTAGCAAACAATCGCTCGCCGCAGAGCCATATAGCTCAACGGTAAGAATTTATAGTTTATACCTTACAGTATAATAATGCTGTGGAGCATCTTTAAACAAATTTTATCTTCGCACTAGAAAGTTCTTTATTGCTTATTTGCACAGTTCTCGCTCAATTCTAGTACTTACTTCTAGTTCAGTTTAGTTCTACTGCTGCGATAAAAAGGTAAACCTTTTGTTCCCATAAGCACAAAATGCGAGGAGATAGCGATAGCGATAAGTTTCAACCTATCAAAAACTGCGTATTCCGGTGTATCCGATTTCTGATAAATTGAAACTGTCTCATTTATCGCTATCGCTATTTCCTCGCATTGCGTCTTCGGCTTAAATCTCGCGGCCTTTCCATCTCCGCGACAACCTTTGTCGCAGAGGCACTTGGTGCGCGTATACCGAGTGCGTGAAGTGAGCAATAGGATTCGTGAACAGAGAGGGAATCGTCCAATTGCTGGTGAGAATGTCAGGCGGCCACTTTCAAACTGTTGGGCTGCGATTGGTCATTCCGGCCGCTGGCTGCGTGCGCCGTCGGCTTGAGCATTATGGCGTCGTCGCGATTACTAGTGTAATGGGTGTAATGTCGTGCTTCGTTGATACACATCGTGGTGTCTCACTTGGAATCGCTTGGAATTTCCAGCGTGTCGCGATGCTGTTCGCCCAGTCGTCGCCAAGAATGACAAGATTTTAAATGGCAGCGAACAAAGCAAAGGTAATCGCGAGACAGAGTAGAGTAGCTCTGAAATACTCTGAAACGACGGAGTGTTTCTTGGGATGTCGCGCGACTTCTCTCGGATCCGAAATATCCGAGGCCCGATATCTGCCGACGCATATCTCGCCCGAGTTGACAGCAGTTGACAGCGTCTCGATCGCGGTTGCAAATCGACAGCGAGGGCCGATCTCTTCGTTGGTGAGATCACGTCACGTTGCGCCGCGATTTGTTGACTCACGTTTGACGCCGGAACGGTACTCAAACAAGACGCGATTCCCCTATCACAGATACGCAAAAATGATCCCTACTCATTTACCACACGCGATAGTGACAGCACGGCTGCTGCGTGAAACGCGTTTCTCCGTGTTCCGAAACTTTAAAAGTTCCACCTGTCGATTATTACGTCGGTCTGATACAACTTTGACGAACGCATCGACGATGCGCTTATGAAGAAAATTGTTTATTTAATGTGATATCAACAAAAAACAAGACAGATGAGAGAGAGAGAAATTTTTATTAATGTTTTAGAGAAAGCTCCAAACTCATAAGAATGAGGGAAAAAACAGAGAAAGAGAGATAGATAGGGAGAGGGAAAGAGAGAGAGAGGGGGGACAAGTATATATTCAGTATAATGCATCCTCCAGTTTTTCCTAATTGAAATATTTTAAATCTAAAAATGGATTTATTTTTACAAACACATATAATTCCATAATTCTAAAGATTACATTAATTTGGAAAGTCATTATTCTGGAATTAGAGATCACAAATATAATACGTACCTTCAAATGAGAGATTATATAAGATCTATAAAATTCTTTTCATCTGAACTTGCACGTTTGTCTTATTTATCTTGCTTTTTTTTTCTCTCTATCTCGGAGAAAGAAAAGGTGAATTATATGAGAAGTTCAGTTAAAAAGAACAGATTTATGAACTATAGTTAATAACTTTGCTGTAAATATAAGTTCTATCGATCGAGTCATCGATATTCCGTTAAAATTGATACATTCAGTGTGTCTCCTGACGATACACTTCACCCAATAGGTCGCTATTTACGTGACGTATCTAATTCAATTGGTGAATGGATAGATCACTTTCTTGTCATTTAACGGATGTGTCTGGAGTACATTGGGTCTTTGCAATTCTTCCTGACGATTATTCAAGCGGCACCACAGCCGCATAGTCGAGAAGTACAGTATTTCCATAAACGACAAAAAACTGAAGCCCATGAAGAGACCCAGCAATCCCCCCGTACTCGCTGTAAATTAAAATTCCTGATTTTGCAATATTTCTTTCTAAATAATAATCATTTGTAGGAAGAACAGATACCTACATAGAAATTCGATGAATCCGAAAAGCTCATTTTTCATGTATTTCGTGAACTGAGAGTCCACAAAAAACAGGTGAACCACCGCTACATTTTCCCTTTAAAATTGCATTTAAAAAAAAGTTTATTGTAAATTACTCAAAAAAGAAAGAAATGAAATAATGACATTTATTAAGAAAATGCCCGTTATATACTTAGATCATGACAGAGCCGAACGTAATACAAATAATGCACAGGATGTCCAAATAGATCTTAATTCAACAATAGATTTTCCTCTCAACTTGTAACTGAATTTAGTTAAGGAAAACAGTGACGTATCGCAATTTACATAAATCTGCATTGGATTTGTATTTACATTTAAATATGAAAGTCTATAAAAGATAAAGCCTACTTAAGTGCTTTTTTCGAGACACCTTATGTATTTCTGGAATCTAAATGTCAACCTGTTGCATCTTTTGTATGCGTCAACGAATATCTGCCGCAATAAATTGCGCTCATTAAATTTTAATTACGTGAAATAATCTGCGTTCTTCTTCAGGTATTGTTTGTTGGTTTGGAAGGTCTGCACCAGTTTGTTCTGTGAAAGGTCTATCCTATAATTAATCTCGAAGCAGGCTGGCCAGCAATTGCAGCTTGGTCTGCAGAAAAGAAAAATTTGAATGATAATTTTTTATCTCGTTTGTAGAAAAAGATGTAATTCTCTGAGGCAATTTACATCGTAATATTGTTCAAAACATCATCGTAGAGTTTGATTTCCATGGCTTGTCTGGCACGTTTAGCGCATGGTTCGTCTCTCTTGCCGCAGATCGGTGTGTTCGATGATTCTACAAATAACGCTTTAATTCTTTAATAGATAGACAAGAAAAACTAAATTTAAATCAAAGATTATGATAAATCTATTTTAGCTTATCGTCACTCTACTATCGCTAATTAAATGATCTTAAACACCATAAATCATTAAAGAAAAATTATTTTGAGAATTTGAGTTCAAATATAGTGGAAAAAATATTTTGATTCTACAATTTAAGAACAAACAGATGACTTTTCGCACTCTGAAGCCAAAAATAACACCAACGTAAAAATAAATATAAGCACAATGTAAAAATAACTTTTTGTCACTTTGTCAGATTTGTATCAAGGATTAATGATAATTACTTGGCATGTAATATTGCACGCAGTCGCAGAGCTTCTGTGTGTAATTTGCCTCACACTCCAGAATACAGTTCCTCTGTGTGTATGTCCGATAATAACGCAGTTTTCTTTCAGACATAAAAAAACATTTCCGTTTCCTCTGCGCTATTGAGATTATCGATGGATTGGCATGCGATATCCGTGGTCTTATGATTATCCGAGTCTCCTCGCCCGGTGTGACTGAGAATGAGAAATCGGCGATTTTCGGTGTCTCTACAGGATTATGAAGCAACATCTGCAAAATCATGACCATGTCATTTAACATCGTCATTGCATTCGGAAACGACATTACATCATTGTAAAAAGCATATTCTATAGCAGTCTGAGAATTTACGAACTTGAATTTTAATGAGAGAAAAAAGAGATTCGTTGTATGTTAATTATTTTTCTAATGGCGGATGCTTCCAAAATCGTTCTTTAATAATCTCGTTTTAACGGGCAAGACAAAAAGAGAAAAAGGGAAGGAAGTTTTCGTAGCGTAAGACGCACTTTAAAGCCTGCGCCGGCGGTCGATGAACAATAATATTCGTCAATATCAGCATCAAGAGCCAAAGTCAAGCCATAGAATAATCCAGCACCGTATGGTCTCCATGGTATAACATCCGGCGACATACTCGCGTCGTATCCCTTTTCAGCATTCCAATCAACACTTTCAGATGGATACGTTATATTCAGGTCAGGCCAGTCGAGTCTAAAATAGCAGAAATAAAATTTTAACAGAAATTTTCGGTCATAATAGAGAAATTTAAAAAAAATATTATATATATATAGAAGAAAAAATATATAGAATCTTTCAAAAATATATTTCAATTTTTCACAATTATACTAGTATGATTAATCACTTACGGATTATAGAAGAGATGTTTTTTTGCTACTGAGTTGAAATTGCAACAAATACCCTCATCGGTCATAGTAGGATTAAAAATTCTTTCACATTCGGTTGGAGTCCCGTGCCAGAGACAGTAGTATATCATATCTGTGCACGGCTGGGTTACCTAAATAAAGAAATGAAGAATAATTTTTTAATGATATATTATTTGAGATAAAAATAATTACAAAGTAATATCTGAATCTCATCAATTGATTTCGATCTAATCATTGATCAAGAAATGTGACTTTAATCTTTTATACTTGTCTCAGTTAATTTTTCTCTCAAGGGAATAAAAAACTAAATGTTTTATTTTCTTAATAATGGTATATTCATATTTTTTGGAAAATGTGTGTTTTTGAAAAATCAAATTTTTGTTAATTTAATTTATCTTCCAGCAATTTTGATCTCAATCTCAGATAAAAAAACATGGATCTGATATTTTTTAATATTTTATATTTTTTCAACATATCCAAAGCTTTCATTAAAGTCAAAAGGGGGCGTTTGTTGTGTTTTCATGGTATCAGTATATATCAAAATGTATGTACGAAAAAACGCTGTATACATTTATCATGAACTTTAGCATCCTGTCCCAGTGTATACCAGAATGCTCTTCATGGTCATAAGTTATGTTACTATCCGAATTGCAAAGATCTTCCATCAATAGTTTATCTAATTCGTCGAACCTAAAAAACACAAGATTTTTTTATAATAATTCTTACAAGGAGAGACAAATGTATAATATTTCATGGATTTTGATCAGCTTTTTGATTATTTTAAAGAACCAAAAAATAATCTCTGTAAAACAGTAAATTGCATCTCTGCGTATTTTTCGACAAAAATTGTGATTTTATATTACAACGACTGATCACTTTCAAAACTGGGAGAATCGATAGATAATTAAAACAAGAGATACTCCAGAATAACCACGCAAAAGCTGATCAAAATCCGTGAAATACACGTATGGGTGTTTCTCCTTGGATTAGTCATATTTTTTTAAATAATTATTTTTAATGATGGAACTTATTATTACAATAATTATTAATTGCATTGAGATAAAAAAAAAGCACTTTTCTCTCCAATAACATATTTCCTAAAGATTTTTTGGAAATGAATTAGTATCGCACTTTTGCGAAAATTTAATTGTTGAACAGTGTTATTATAGAGAAAACAATAATACTATTAGTAATTTAATGCATACTTACCCACGTTCAATTCGCTTTCCTTCTGTCTTTTTAATTTTATTCATATTGCATATTGTTACAGAGGGAAACGGAAATTCATTGAGAGAAATTGGATCAGGGCTCAAAGAAATAATAATAGGAGATCCATTCCATTTTTGATAGATATAACAAATGTAATATATCGCTACTGTTAGTGCAGTTGTGAACGAAATTATCCAAAATATTCTGCAAAAATTATGCATCCAGCTTTAAAATCATATAAAATTGTATAAAGTAAGTACGACTACTTATTAATTTTATTTTATATGATATATAACAATATAATATTTTATACACACTTGTGTATATACGCAAGCATAAAATTAATTTCTAAATATATATTATATATTTAAAATAAAATTAGGAGATAAATATATAATATATATTTTAAAATTTAAATAACATGTTTTATAACATTTTAAAAGTGATAATTTTATTACATTGAAAATCGCATCTCGATAGCTATTAAAAAATTATTTCAAATTTTATTATGCTGTTTCATAGTATTTTAAACTCGAAGAATTGGAAAGAACTTATTATGTAAGTTTTAAATTGACATAGAACTTTATACCTTTCTATAACTGACAGTTTTGAGTCACCGACGTAACGTAAACCGTGAAGAGAGCTGCACGAGCAATACTGCTTGGCAAGCTCGCTAATTTCTGTGAGTTTTGGATGCTTCTTTCCAGTCTTCCATCTAAAAGCAATACTAAATTAGATAGATGCGTATTGTTAGCAATTAATTAAAAGTTTCTTTACCTTTCAGTTTTCTCGCCTTCTTGATCATTGTTTTTATTCGCGGCTGATTCTTTTGCGAACAAATTATTGTTGTATCTTGATCTCAGGATAAAATCTTGCGATCGATGCGTACCCTACGCATAGTTACGCTATCGAGATGCTTACTTTGTTTGTACGACTTGCGTCTTATCTTTTATTGATAGTGCACGCCGAAAATAATAATTTTACTATTATATCTAATATTTAATGAAATGTTTAACAATACGGAAAGGCTAGATATAGATCCAAAAATAATTTTGTTGGATTATTAAAATAATTATGTAGAACGTATAAGCGATGACAATGCTGCAACAAAGTTTTTTATATTCTGGCAACTAATTCAAGCATCCTATCTATATAATTATTTTGATGGTCAAATCAAAATTATTGTCAAATCTATATTCGGCTAAATTTTTAGATATTTCAGCAAAACTGTTCTTTTCGTGTGCATTTCTTCTCACGTTCAATTTCTTCGTTCGGAAGACGAACGAAAACTATTTCCCGGTTGTTAACCTTACCTTCGAGTAATCACGAGACGCGAATCCCTCCAGCTGTTGGGGTGGTCTGTAGGGATTCTGTAGGTGCACGGTATTGACGGAGTATGACGGAATAGTGTTAATCTTTAAATAATCAAATTGCGCTCTATCGGCGTCATTGTGATGATTTTCACCCGAAAGGTGATTACGGTTATAGGTTCGTGATGGCATCACAGGTGCGTCGAATATCTTCATACGAACGAAATCGGATGCTCGATCGACGTTCGAGGTGACATGCGTTAAAATTTGCGCATCATTCCACGGATTGAAGATTGCCCTTTCCTTTCGCTTCAATGAATCTTCCATTTCATGATCATTCTCTCTCTTGATTCATTGCGATCTCGCGATTTTCTTTTAATAACTTTTTTTTTTGACGCAAAGCGCCCTATTAAAATTCAGTAAACTTCCTTTTCGTTCTTTGAAAAAAGAAAAATGCTAATTGCTTGCATTCACGGTATTTTCTCTTTTCTCAATTATGCGCCAGCACTCGAGAAATTTATCTTATAGATGATCTTTTAATAATTAAGAAGATTCTCCTTTTTTCTCCGATTAACATTAATCATCACTTTATTTAATATTAATTATAATCAGTATTATTTATTGTAGTAATTCTTTATCATACAAGGAGCAAGTTATCATGAGTCTCTTCAGACAATATCTAATCCGGAAAAAATTTCTCTTATTCCATCGCGGGACTTCCAAACTACCCTCTAAGACAGCCGACAGCTAACTGACGTGTAACAATAGCGGCGAGCATCCTTGTAACTTTCACGATATAGTGCTCGTATATGCCTCGTATGCATACGTACGCTTATGATCTAGATAAATAGATATTATTATTACTCTATTATCGTATTAACAAGTCGAAATCGCAAACCAACGTTACATAAAAATCGTGAAATGATTGCGATACATTATTTTTTCTTGTTTTTTTTATGAAGATATCAAACTTCTAATAATAGATTCCTTAATAAATTTAAAATCAATGTTTTTTAAAGAAAATTCTTGACGAATTGTTTGTAGTACCATTCTAGACAACACAAAGTTTAAAATAGAAATACAAAGATAATAATAATATTATTATTATTTTATTACATACGCTTATTACACTTACAAAAAAAGATGTCTACAGGACGTCTTTTAAACGTTTTTTAGACGTCTTGTGTCAGATTTTAAACTCCTATTCAAGACTATTCAAGACGATCTTAAATATAAGAATCAACTATGAATATCGTCCTTTAGTGTTGTCTGAGATAATTTTAACTCGAAATGTCAGTGTCAATTTTAGAAACGACAGTTGAATCGCATACACCTGCTTACAAGTGCAATAATGACCCTCTCTGAGCTAGTCATTTAGCATTCTCCGATTATTCTCGAAGTGCATTTTTCTATTGACGTGGGAAAAGGAACAAATGTGATGTAAAATTACGTCAGTTACAAAACGATAGGGAAACGTTCGATAAATATGGCTTATCTTTTCATGAATATCTACTCTTTCATGTGCGAGATATCTTGTTTAACAATAAATGAGTACACAAAAGTAACACACACACACACACACACACACACACATTCCTTTTTTTCCTCAGTAATCGAATTACATATACATACTTTAATGCGATCCGACATTCTATTTACAATAAAACTTTCGAATCGCTTTAGTATTTATGATCACGAGTTCAACATGGTCACAATGTGCATGAATCAAGAAAAAGAGAAATGCATTCGTGGAGAAAAATACATTTCTCTTAACGAAATAACTTAATTTCTAAAACGAAATGCCGCAAGTATCAAGATGACTTTTAGAAACTTATGGTATTAGACGTTAAAGATGTTATTGAAACATTGTATAACGTCATTGTATTATTTAGAATCGGGCTGGAACATCACTTTGTTACTTGGAATCGGTTATTCTATCTTTATTTTATCCAATAAATTTAACTCGTTCTTAATTCGAGTCGTACACTTAACTGTTTGAAAATTTTATATCGGATCTATAATGAGTCAGTAGTCAATAGTCCTAAGCCTTATCGGTGAAGTTTATCACTAACTAATTTGTATAACCAACGCTGATTGGCCAACTTCACTGATTAAAACTACTCACTACCGACTTATTGTAGACTCGGCATTACCTTTGCTTGGAAGAGAAAAAAAACCATCGCATGCGAGAGGAAGAAAAAAAAGAACGTAACACGCCGTGTCCTAATGATGTATCCCGTTGTTTCGTTACAAAGTACACGATGATCCACTATTATAAATTGAATCGATCGCGTATATCGCCGATGCGATATACATATAGGATAGATCGATGGGGAAGTGTACATTGTCGCGCGATTAGAGACTGTTACATGTTTGTATTAGCCGCAACGAAATGGGGGTGGAGCATTCTGCGCGATCGCTATCCTTAAGCAAGGATGACGTTAATAAAAATGTCCACACGCAAGCTTATCTCGCATTATTCTGATCATGCGCGCGAATTTTCCTTTATTTCGCACTATTTTGCCTCTTGAGTAGAAATTGTATCATTAATATCTATTTCTATCAATGTAATTCTCAGAATTAGAAAAAGACGAAGAGTTAGTTGAACCAAGATTCAAATTAAACCATGTTGGTAGAAACAGGCATAAATTAAATTATTAACCATTTTGTACTACTTCTCAGTATGTGGTACACTCAAATTTACTACAACTTTTTTATTAGTAAGAGCACATACAGTACATACATTAATTAAAACTTCTACGGGGTTTTTCTTCAAAGAAGTTATACATTTAACGAGTAATCTTTATCTTGATACATCGTTAAATGCCAACGTTTCATGAACACTCCATCATAGTGAGTAACTTGATACAGTATCGCCTTGATGAAATGAATATCAAGACACAGAGATAATCCATAAACTGCGTATAATTTTCTTAAATATAGTAATACCCGTTTCCAGTACAGATTAATCTTGATTCAACTTACTCTTTATCTCTTTTTTAATTTTTATTGGATCTAAAAAGAATGAAGAGTTAGTTAAGAGAACTAAAATTAAAATTAAATTTGCTTTTTACCAAAATATTCTTAATATTTTTAATGACATCTTGATTTAAAAAAAATTATTATAAATATATTTATTTTTATTTTTTTTTATATTTTTATGTAATATATCCTTGTATGGCACTTGTGACAAAAATATAGTGTGCATCGAAGAGTCAAATTGATATGATGACGTTACAATATTAATTATATATTAATTACAATGTTAGTTACATTATTAAATTAGTTCTATTGTCGTGATGTTATGATTTAATAATAATGTGTAATAGTATATATATATATATATATTTGATAATATTTATAATTTATTCATTATGTCGTTATATTATTGTATTATTACAAATTATATCTTCAATTTGAAATTATTAAACAATTTGTGGACCATGTATAATTTTTAATTTAATAAAGAATATATTAAATACTTTTTAACGTAAAATTAACGCGAACTCTCTTTGATTATTAAAAATGCAACAAATGTAAATGAATGCGTGTCATAATATGCAACACACTGTTTAACTATATCTTATTTTAAAGTTCATAACCGATCAGTTAGCTGTTAGATCACTATCATAAACAATAATAGTGATACTGAAGTAGGTATATAACGTGATAGGAAACGCGTATGGAAAACCACGATGAGACTACGGTCGCGACAATCTCACGCAATTTTCTATCGTTATGCATAACGAAACAAGAATGCTAAAGTGGTTACAGACTCGTCCGCAGTGGAAATGTTTCGTGACCGCCTCCTCTGATGGATCGTCGTCTCAGCATAATTATAAGGCAAACATTCGTGTTATTCTTATCGACGTTCAACGGCACCTCACGCGAGTCGAAACCGGCCCCGTCCGGCTGATGTCTGGAACGAAATGTCTTCTTTTCGTTTATCAGGTGGTAAACGGCAATGATACGCCTATATAAAATTTCAGCAGCGAAAGAAATTTGCCGGATGGACATCGGCGATTGGCAATTTATTGTTACGTTTTGATACGAAATTGAATTTACGATGCGCGATACATTGATCACGCCAAAGGGAAATTAATTAATCATTTATTCTTATGAATAATTATTATGAAGGAGGGGCGCGGTCAATGATAAACGAGCAAAAAACATTTTGCGAATAAAAATGTCTAAATAATTCATATTGATTACGATAATGTAGACCGTCGAGGAAAGTTTTCCATTGAATATCTAGCTAATAATTAGACGAACTGCGTGCTTTAAAGGAAGGGGGCGAGGAGACCTTGCTTCGAATAATGGCAAGGTTGGACTTTTTCCAGATAATGTTCTTTGTATAACGGCGATATTAGGTCACCGCCGTTTGTTCTGCACTGACGATGTCATAAGCGACGATAATGATTATGCACGAGTGACAAGACACGCGCCTTTTAAATAGACACGTGATTCTATCAACGTAATTAACGGCATGGTATTGCTCGTTATTAGAATTATGATATTCTGATAGTCAGCTGTGATATTTTAACGTTTCTGCTCTTTGGCATCGTATAATTAGTTATCATATCATTAAATTTGTAGAGAAAATGTAGTGGGTCTAGGCTAGCTTGTACTAACGCGAATAATTAACTCGCGACATGAAAAAGATATTAATTTCTATTTAAAATTAATTACGATCTTTTGCACGTTGTTCACAACGTTTATCTTGATGAAATAAAATTGATGCATCTCTCTCTGAATTTATTTAATTTTATGTCGTTCTTGTTATTAATAAAATGATTCCATCGCTTGTTATAGGCAAAATGTCATACAAAACTAAAAAGCGAAAAGATGTCGAGGAGCGCAAAGTGAACAATGACGAGCAAGACAATTTTTTTACCGCTGAGATGAAAGAGGAGATGGAAGTAATGTGGGAGGTAATTAAAGTTCTTCATAATTTTATTAGATTTTTTCATATGGAAGAAAAATGACACTCATGATATTTTTTCAGATACCACAAATTTTCCATTTCCTCTACTTAACAAAGGAATCTCTTAGTATACCTCAATTATCTTTGTATGAAATGGAAAGGATGCTGATGATACCGAGAGCTTCTAAACAATTAGCAAACATTATGACGTGTCTGCTGAGGTATATTAAATGGAACTAGATTTAACTATGCGAAAGGACATATATATTATAACACAAAGTTTTATTTCAAAATTGTAGTTCTCCGATAACCAAAACGAAGCTACATAAGGTGCCACCGATGCCGTATGAATTTTGGACTAATATTCTCGCGTATAAAATATCAAGCTGGTTCAAAATTTATCGTGCGAAGCATGAAGACGCAACTAAAGTATGTATTATCATAAGTTTAAATTGCAAACTGATAGTATTGTATTTATAATTTTACATTAATATGTACGCAACATTTTAGACACACATACATATACACACAATAACATCCACCACAATGATTAGAAATATGATCAAAGATTTTTAGGTTCTAGAAACTATTGGCGTTGAACCAGAATTTTGGAATGTTTTTCCCGAAACTTCGATGCTCGATGGCAAAGACTTTGAAGATCTTAGCTTCAAGCAAAGGGTCTGGTTGCTGAAAACTGTCTGTGATACAATCATGGTGAGTTCGCGATCATCTCAAAAATAAAGAATTGTCAAATTAAACTGCCATAATTCTTGTAGCATACTAGAAAAACAGTTCAAGAAGATATGGTGAATCAACCATGGCAGGATCAGTTTGAAACAGTTTTAGGAATAGATCGTAATGGAGCGAGATACATTTACTTTCCTCAATTTATGCCAAACGATTTCAGAATTTACAGGCATTCTCTGGACAATAAGATCTTGTCGACTGTTAAGGTAATTCGCTTATCCTTCTGTGAAATCTGACTAACAGTGTATCTACATAAACTTAACTTGTCCTTTGAAAAAAATAAGAGGAATATTATGTATGAACAATTGCTATAATTATATATCTTTTTCTATAATAAATAAATAATGTATATTAGGATATTAGATTTGAACGAGATAATAATTAGCCTTCGAATTTGAAAATTTTCTAGGTGAATATGTAATTTTTTTTATTAATTAATATAATTTTTCTTCTCTCATTAATTATCTTAATACAACAAAATACAAAAATAAAAGTAAGAACAAAAATAAAAAGTGATATCTAAGGTACTTAAGATAATCAGTGAGAAGAGATTATAAAAGACACAAATAACCAAAGATTGGTTATTTGTATTTTCTATAATCTTTATTATACGAACTTAAAATATGTATAAAGTATAAGTAAAGTGTTATACTTTATACACACATATATATATATATATATTTTACAAACTCTGAATAATCAGTTTTTGATCCTTATAGTCATTATTTCTTATTTATTGTTCTATGCATTTAGAACCTTTTTTTCGATTTACCTTAATATATCTTGTGTGTGTAGAAATAATATAATTATTTATAATAGTAATAGATATATTATGAAACAGATGTTTCTCATTTAACATAATATAAATAAAAGTATAATAAAAAGATCACATTGTTGCAAATTAAAAAAAAGTTTTTTAATCTCCAAACTATTTTACACAAGTTTTGCATATTTTACAAGCTATGTGTAAACATATTAATTAATAAACTATAAATTTTGCAGCCTGCCAGACAAAAGCAAGAGAAGGAAAGAAGCAAATTCATTAGATACAAAAAGAGAAAATTACAAATACAGAATAACTTATCCAATCACAGGCTTGAAAATAGAAACGATGATAAAGATCTTAGTAATAACGATAGCACCACAGGTTCGTTTGTCAGTGAGGATACGAATTTGAGTAGTATCAGTACGTGCAGTAATAATAACAACAACCTGGACACTGTAAATAGGAAGCGTCGCAGGAGTTTGTCGAAACTATCCGAGGAAAGTTCAAACGCGAGATCCAGCGGTTACGATACCCATAATTCCAGCGATACCAAATCTGTCGACGATGAGTCATCGCCGATGTTTAAAGGTTTCACTAATACTCAAAATGACAATTGCAGTATAGGAATAATTAATGAAATGTTACATGATTTGAAAACTGAAATTGACGAAGAAAAAAATGTGAATGAATGTGAAAGCAGTAATAAATTAATATCACAAGAAAACTTAGCGGAATTGTACAAAAATACTACAGTAACCTGTAGTGAAACTTTTGACGAAAAGAATGAGAACGAGAAATCAGGTGATAACTTATCTAATAGTTCAAAAACAGACGACGAGAAATTGAATGAAATAATTAATGCTGAAAGTTCCAAATTACTTGAAGATGTATGTTCCAAAAATATTTCCGCCAGTGACAATGTAAGTGATATTTCAATGTTGACGTCTCTTTCGGATGACGAGAAACTGAGTGAAACGAAAACTAGTGATAATAATGTTAGCACAAGTGAAAACAATTTAAATAAAAAAAGAACTTTTAATGAGTTTTATTCATCTTCTTCTATCAATAGTACATCATTAAGTAAAAAAGTGACTAGACAATATCTTAATAAAACACCACCAGTGATAGAAGCAGAATCAAATGATTCAATAAAAAAAAATAATTTGAGAAAAGGAATGAAACTACGATCTCGAAATGTAATAAAGCAGTGCAATAAAAAACATACAACTCAAATAACAGGAGATGAGATAAACGAAAAACAGAAAGCAGAAGACGATCAAATAAATGAGACAGATGAAGAAACTTTAAGTGAGCGATTACAAGCAAACATAGAATACGATTTGGACAATGACACAAACAATATTGATATTGATTACAATTTACGAAGATCTAGGAATCCAAAGACAGATGAATGCAAGCAACGTTTCGACAAGATGTTGTCTGATCTTAACGTTTCTGATTTTTATCTTTTAGTCGACAGTGTGGAAGAATTACGGGACCTCATTGCCAGTTTTTCAGAAAATGATTTGAAAAGCAATAATTCCGATAACGTAAGCTTGATATAATTAATGATTGTCTTTAATATTTTTAGCACTTTTATTATAGCCTCAGTTTATAGTCTAGATAATATTTATTCAACTATTTCCACGTATCATTTTTTATTTATTTAACTGCTGGCCATTTTACAATAGTCTTATTGTCATTTGATCACTTTCTTACACTCTCTTATAGACCTACGTCGACACTTTTTGCGACAATTAGAATGCTCTTTTGAACTAATGTCCATACGATTGATATATATTACTTTTGCGATTTATTTAACTAATTGAGTAAAAAAAGTTAGAATTGTGACATTTAGAACATTTGTTAAGACATTTAGGACATGTCTTAATGAATAACGATTATTGAAGAAGTCTAATAATAATTGTCGAGACGTTTATAATTAATTTTTTAAATGTAAATTTGCCTTCTTTACTAATTTACAATATATGTATCCATAATATTTTGCTGCGTATTGGCTAAAAATTACGATGCGTTTACAGGCGGAAATTATTCCTTTGTGTGAAGTAAAATTGGTAAAGCAGTTGACTGAATTATTAAGTTCTGTGGAACCAGTAGAGACAACTCTAAAGGATGCAATGCGAAAAGCGAAGGCAAAACTTCAAAGGGAATGGACTAATTTTAAAGAAGGGTATGTATAACAATGTGTATTTTTATACCTTACAATGTGAAATAATTTGATATTATTTCTCAAAATCTCATACATTGTCATACATTAAAACGATCACAAAAAGAGTTATATAATTAAAGTTACTGGGAAATATTGTTTCATTTCTATTCTGCTTTATTAACGCTTATTTGCAAAGTATTTTGGCTTTGATAAGTAATACACATAGCAAAATAATATTGTGCATCTTCATAACTTCTCATACCTTATCATTTTCATTGTCTGAAGAATTCGAATTACCTGACGCCTTGAGATTGCTACAATCCATATGTGATTTACGATGTGGTCGTTGTCCACACTTCTTCCAGTAATGTTAAATTTTAATCACTTTTGTCGAGCATGTATGGTAGACAAACATGTGATGTGTTGTAGCAGTGTGGAGGATCAGGACTCATCCGGTGAGAGTGGTCTCAGCTCTAATTGGTGGGTTCTTGGGACGCAGGGCAGGGATCCACTCTCAACTCCCGGAGACGCAACGTTACAAACGTTATCGCAATCTGCCGTATCCCCACTTGGCACCAAAAATACACAAAAACAATCACGACAAGTCGAGAACGAAAACGAAAGTACGGTCAAAAATTCTAAACAAAGTCACCACGAGAGCCGAGAGCCGAGTGACGAATGGCAAAACAGAAATGATACTAAACATTCGAAGATTGAGGCAGAATCAAGAAGAAACGAAGCTGTGGAGAAAGAAAAGAAACTGGAAGTCAAACAAGACGGAGAAAACGAGAACGTCTCAAACGACGAAGGTATTCTTTTCCGTCGCCTTGGTTTTCCATTCGGTTTTCCATTCTGATTCTTCTTTTGTACTGAAAATAATATGTTTTTTGCAGATGCAGAGCAGGAAACACAATACAGTAGGCGAGTGTTACGAGCGCGCGGCGTCTCTTCATACACAGAACAGCTTTATTCAGATGACGACAGCAATGAGGACGAGTTGGAGGAATGGACCGACGTTGAGGCAGTGTACGCGGCTCCCGGCACACAGACCAATACATCCGCTTCTCACGTTAATTCGAAAGAACGAAACGCTGATAACAGGTCGGACGAGGAGGACTCAGACCAAGATTGGATTCTACCAAGCTCTCGCAAAAGGAAAAATAAACGTTCGTGTAAGTGTCTAATCTCGAAAAAAAGGTGTACTATTATATCTTTTCTCTATTGAGACTAGATTTTTCATAAATTTTAAAATTTGTTTTGTTTGAATATGGGAATACTTTTATAATTTTAATATCTGTATTATTTTAGCTACCAATCGAAGATTAAAATCGTTTGAACATAAAGTACAAAACATTAAGGAAAATACGTCTCAGATTAATGCGGCATCTGATGTTTCTCATCCTAATGTGAAAATTATCAAAGATAAATTGAAGGATAAACTCAAAGATAACAAGCCTGAAAATGCAGTTGCCCCACAAATCCTTCATAATATTAACAAAAATAAAAGAGAAGTTTCTTCCATGGACACAATTTGTAAGATTGAATCTGTCAAGAGTGTACATTCGGAACTTGACATTAAGGATGAGGGTCCAGTGTATGAGTCTAATCCAGACGCCACAAGCCAGCAATATGAACAAAGTAATTACGAACCCGCGAATTCGCAACAGAAATATTATTACATGGTGCCACAGAATTCTGGAGTGGTGCCCCAGGGAGCGATTATCCAGGGAGCCGTATCGCAAGCTCCGCAAGCGACTTACTACATGCAGCAGCCTTACGTAATACAAGCTCCACAGGGCAAATATGTACCCCTTCAGCAACAACAGTTTGTTTATCAACAGCAAAATCCACAGATGCTATCTCAAACGTACTTCAACAATACGAATTACGTGTCTTATGTAGCGGTTGCAACACAGCCTCAAACAGAGTATGTGGTTGCACCAATGACAAATCAGCCAAACTTGCAAAATCCGATTCAATGTGCTCCGAGACAAAATAAGCACATCCAAAATAACAAACAACTGGCACCTCGACCACAGAACTCACAGATCGGTACAGTGATAAGAAGCGTTGGCACACCTAGCAGAGGTCAAAGACCTACCCATTCGAGAAACATCCCTTTGAGACAAAAACAGAAAACATCACAGACATCTAGCACGGAAAACAGTAGTCAGAAGGTCACATCTCTAATTATGCTCAGTGATAGCGATGACGAGATAGAAATGATCATAATGGAAAAGCCTACCAATTCCACAGAGAAAACAACTCCAACCAGTGCTAGATCATCGGAGATTCAAGGAATTGCTAATCAATCTAGACAGAAACCTACAATCACTTCGGACATCACTGTCCCTTCGACAAAGGGCATTCTCTCACCGCAAATCATTCAGCGAATGAGCCAGGGCGGTATATCCATCACACCAGTGAAAAACAATCCGCCGCCAACGACGAATGCCAACACACAGCTGGTGGTGGTCGTAAACGAGACCGGAAGTCACTATGCCTTGGCACTACCTAATGGCAGCAAACTCATACTCACTCCAGAACAAGTGGCACAGATTAGAGCTTCAAACGGAGGAAAACTAATTTTGTAGAGCGTGTAATACTATGATTATCCCTATATTACATAAACCACGTGCGTCTTTGTTCTGTTTCTTAATTTTTCATAATCGCAATAGCATGTAAATTTGATACATACAAATTTTATCTTCATAATTTTGCCGATTTAGTCATTAGTCTGTAAAAATAGAAATTTATTGACGAGATATAATTTATTGATAAAGTCATATATATTATAGTTATATATATATATATATATATATATATTTATCGATTTTTTCAATAAAAGATATCTCGTCGTATAATCGCAAATGTTTAAAGAGTTAAATTAAAGATTTTTAGGTAATATATCTTCCGTTAGATGATGTACAAAGAATATTTTTAAAATTATTTTTAATTTTAATTAGTTTTTTTCACAATGTGTATAGTAAATAATAATCTTAAGTATAGTATAATATGAATTATAAATATTATAAAACCGGAAACAATAGAATTTATATTAAAACTATATTTCTTTCACTGTTCTTGGAATAATCACGTACATACACATGTATATTGCATAAGTATATATGAAATTTAAAATATTCGTTGATAAGATTGAATATATGATTAAAATTACAAAATTTGTGCAAAATATTGTTACATTTGTAAAAAAAAAATATGAAAACGCTTTTTAATTTTTTTATAAAAAATACACAAAATGGTTCTTCGAATAATACATATGATGTTATATACATGCAAGAAATTATAATTAAGTGCAAATTTATATCTAATTTTAATTTTGTATTACAATAAACAGATAATATTGTAGACATTAATATTTAGATTTTCATGAAAAGATTTATGAACTTCTATAAAAGAGGTATTATTGATTTGATAATACGCAAAATAATTGACTTTTACATGTAAAATAAACTGCTATTATAAAATAACTATTAGTATTTTTGCACTTCCAGTTAAAAAAATTATTTTGCGCGTATATTTCAAATTTATTAATGTTATGTTAAATATTCAATAATTAAAAAAAACAATTAGATCTTAATTGAGATATCTCTCGTTTATACAATTGTCCTTTATAAATTCTACTAATACACATTTCTGTAATTAAATGCCACAACGTAAATGCATGTAATTTACATGAGAAAATTGTTCTTGAATGTCATCGAAATTAATGCACATTAGTCTGCATATTCTATACGAATATATTATCACGACTTAATATTAAATATTATATATTTCTCATGTATTAATTATGCAGATAACAATGTATAATATAAAAATAGATGGAGAAATATTTCTCTAAATATGTTATTCTCTTTTTTCTATCTACATAACTAAGCAACAAAATATTTTTTTTAGGTATGTTACAAAAACGATCTCATTGCAAGAAGAAAATTCACACTTGCATTAAACCAAATAGGAACGTTAAATCGTTTAACACAAGTATCATGAGTAAATGGTAACATAAATCAACAGTCAATCCGGCCCAATTGAAAGTAGGACACAGTTCTCGTTAAATGGATTACAGGAACTCAGCAAATTTTCCTTAGTTGCATATCTCGACATATAAGATTAATTACATAACTAATATGTTTGTGTATTGTGCGAGCGTTTTCAACTGTATTAACACAAGGCCTCCGGACGTCCTTGAATACAGCCGCTCTCTTACACCTGATTCTTCTTTCGCGCGTACGGTAAATCTTTATCGAAGGCCAGAAACTTGGACAGGCGTGTCCCGTTATAAGGCGTGTTACTTCCTGGTGGATGAAGCCTCATCTAAAACAAAGGCCATCAGATAATCATATGCGTGACGTAGCGTAAATAATTTATCCATGAATCCATGATGTAATTTACATTTTCCTCTTGCTCTCAACTTAATTATTTATCTGCATTTAATCTTGGAGGACTACGTACCACATGCTCCTAATTTTGACGTGTTCCTTGGAATATCACGACACAAGTCGACAACAAAATAATATAATAAACTATTTATTCTATCAATGCTTTATTTAGATATAAAATGCGATATGAAAGTAAAATCTTTGTGTACACAGTGATAGATAAGGAAAATAAACTATTTCATATTTGTAGATTCATGAAGAGTTTCATAATTTTGTTCGGACATCACGAAATTGTCGAAAATTAGAATTTTTATAATTACTTTATAAAGTTCTGTGATTATCTTTTTTTTATTATTTTTAGATTATTATCCTAATAGATGAGATAAATTTTTTTCAGATGATATCCATGGCTCAAATCATCCATAAGCATTGCAAACTAAATGCTGGCGATACAATTGATAATATGACTTATTAACATGACTGATAAAAAAGCTATGCTAATTCGATCCTCGTATAAAAGCAATAATACATTCCAAAGCTCCGTCAAAGGATTAATGATCACCCACTCCGTTTTGCGGTTAGTTTTATTAATACTGTTATACAAATAAATTCCTTCTTGACGAGGCTTAAACATCAGAGAACTTTATTGTTCCTTATCGTATCTCGCGTCCTAAGATAAGTGGAAAAATGTATAAAATATCTCGTTATTTTATGAGCGTCTTGCTTGTGTCTGTTAATTATTTTTTATTATCCATTTCTTCATCTTGAATACTCGGCACGGCAGTGACTTGCTTATTGATGTATCATTTGTCCAAAGACAAACATAACATTATGACGTAATATAATACTATTATTTGATACCATAATATGAAAAAATGGATAATTGATTTAAGGCAATAATTGCTTTATCTACGTCGCCGTTATTATTTTTATTATGTGTATATTATTTGTAAATAGTTGAGCTCCCTCCGACGCAGCAGCAGCCCCGAGCATTAGTATGGTGTGGCTTTGACTCTATTTGGATTTTATGATTTGCGTGCGTGGATATTGCGGTCGTGCAGCATCATTCCTATTCTCTACTTCTCGGCGTCAATGACTCTCGCATTCCCATCTGGATTATTGAATCGCTTCTGCAATGAGAAAAAGACCGACACCAATCCGTTACACGCATTAAAGCGTTTTTAATGTTACGACGACACAGATCGAGCGAATTTATTCTTTTCTTTAACTTGAGTAAAATCAATTTTTTTATCGCTTACACATTTCATTTAATTAAAAATTAAGTAAACTTTCAAATTGTAGGAGAGCAATACCGTTTTTGAACATCAAAAATATTGCTCTTCTATGAATTTCTTGAAAAAGAATATTTCTTTGGTTGTTTATTTCTTATTCTTCAAGTTGATTTTGTCTTAGTCATAGCCATGTAAACAACGTGTTTTCACCTACGTTTTCGCACGCATAATTTACCGCAATCTCAAATAAAACTAGACACTCACCATGATTCTGTACTTCTCCTTGCAAGCGTACTCGGTCTCATCTACATCATTGTAACAGTCGCTCTTGTAATCCTCAGGTATCGGTCGGCCCTCAAACTGGCAGAGCCTGGAAAGCGGTCTCGCCTTGACGAGCATTTTCTCGAAACCAATAGGCTTGTGTTGCGGACAGTAAAATACGTCCGGGGTATTCTTATCGAAGACGATGCTCTTGCGCATTATGTCGCCGCATTGCACTGTAACGAGCAGCATCTACGACATACATCAAACCTTTTCTTTCTAAAATATAACATACATATGTATAATATAGTTCACAAAGATTTTTTTAAGAATTGAAATTAAAATTATAATTAGAAAATTGTAAAAATTTTAGACGTTGCGGAAAATAAACTATTTTACTAGCGTTGAGCACAGGAGTTATATTAATGAAAAAAAAAGATGGTTCTGTAATTTCATGCTAAGAAGCTTCTCATGTTCGAAAATGACTGGAATTAATTTATATGCGATTTTGATTAATTAGTTTACTGAGTTTTCCGAATTTTCTTATCTGCCAATATATATAAATTATCGGCGTTTTGATTCTGTCTCTCGCAGAAAGTTTCGAGGTACGCGCGGAGAGAACGATCAACTTTCGGAAATAAGATGTGTAAGAAATTGCATTTGCAGGACTACATGTGTCTCGCAATGGATGAAAGTCTGGCCACTTACGGCGAGTGCGACGAGCAGGCTGCAGACGTAAATGTTCCCTGCAAAAGCAAAAAGGTGAGTCAGCGTGGAAAAATCAACTGCGCAACATAGTATATCGTCATAAAAAAAAACCAATGAAAAAATAGAGAAAGGATCCGGAATATTTATCGATGGCAATCTACCTTGCGTAAGTATATAAATGTCACAATTCTGCAGTTAAAAATTAAAGCTGAGAATAAGAATACAGTATTGAGTACTGTAATATACATATCTTAGTAAGTTTTTATTTTTATTTTTTTGCTAAATTATATCTGTGAGAGAGAGAGAGAGAGAGAGAGAGAGAGAGAGAGAGAGAGAGAGAGAGAGAGTACCGTAATAAAAAATCTTTAAATGATCCTTATTTAGATCTCGAATGATTTTCTTTAAATTATTCTTCAAGTAATTAAATAATTTATTAGTTTTTAACCAAAAAATTATCCAACTAATTAATTGATTTTTTTTTCTTTAAATTATAAAACAGCTTATATATTGAGATGTTCCCCATGTAATTAGTTCACGATTGCAAAATCCTGGACATCCGTTAACTTAAAGATCCAATCTCGGGTAATTTCTTAACAATTTCGCCGCAGAATTGTAATTACAATTGTGAGTTCCGATAACATTTTTCTCTTCTTTTTTAATTATATCATATTTCTCAGTACTACAATAAACAGCTATTTAAATTATCTTTATCTCCAAATATTGAATTATCCTTCAATTAAATATTAATTACTCGAACAATTACTGATTAATAAACCAATAAATTATTTAAGTAATTAATTGAATATAATTTCATTCTTAAACTACAAAGTAGTACGTTTTAAGATGTTCCTTAAATAATTCGTTCACAATCGCAAAATCCACCAGATATACCATACATCCGTTTACTTAAAGATTCAGATTCAGATATAATTTCTTCTAATCGCAGAGTCGAGTAATTGTGATCGCAACTCCCGATAAGATGCCTCTCTTTTTTTTATATCCCGCAAATCAATTAATATACACGTGTTTCCACACTTTTCGATTCTAGGTCAGCATTTACTATCTTCTCGCATCGCGCGTTCGCTTGTATATTTTTTTTTCACGGTCAACGGCCAGAACTCAGCCTCGAGAAGCGTCGCGCGTAAAAACCTCTCTCTCATTCGTACCACGTTGACCCAAAATCAATCGAATCGTTTCGGCTTTTTAACATTATCACGGCCCACGAGACTTTCCCTGTCAATTTACGCAACACCCCACGCATGTAATATATCGCATGGCCTGCGAGCAGTTGCATTGGCCGTCGCATAAATTTGCGTCACTGAACTTGTCGAATAAATTTCCTCGATTTAAGGCGCAGCTTGCCCCCCTTCTGTTCTTAAAGAAGAGAATAGTTTTTGACTCCAATAAATATACAACAGGGAAGAAATATCGCTTCATCGATGTTGATACTTATTGCGTAACGTTCAACTGCACACACTAAGATGCATCTGTACATAACATTTTCACGACGAGACATTTATCCGTGACATTTCACCCAGCATCACTATCCGGATCGAGTAGATTATTATCTAATAGCTGTGCAAATCGAATTTAATTGCTGAAAATTTCTCTCGTTTTCCTAATTTATCTGTAACTTGACGGAAAAGTAATTTACTCGTCGAGTTATTTTTCATCTTTACCAGTTTGAGGCGCATAATTCATACTTGCACACAGGAAGTCTCAAGTTCATTGTATCTTTTCTCATTTGCAAACTTTCCACGAAGAACAATATGAGTGAGCGAGAAGCTTTGCGAACATTTCAACGGTACTACTTTAAATTAAAGAAAAATTTATATTCAATTAACAAACTAACGAATCGATATTTATGTAACATTAGATAGGCATTAAAAATAAATATCAAAAGACTATAAAACATTTAAAAAATACGTTTTCTTGTCGATTTTTATCTTTAATGTTTTAGAAGCAAATAATTGAAGTCATTGGATATATTTCTTTAAAATATTTATGATAACGAAGACATCAAAAGTCAGAAAATATAAAAAAATAGAAAAGATAATATAAAAGATAATAAAAAAGGATTTTTTTAAAATTCGAAAGATATTTAACGAATTAAAACCAAAAGCAAAATATAATTTCCTGAACATTTATAATGCACGAGAAAAGCAAAATATTTAGAAATATCTAAAGAATACTTAATGAGCGTCTGAATTCTCTTTTCACATTTTCACGTTCTATTTTTAATATCTGGAATTATTTGGTATCTTAGAATTATTTATATTGTAAAAATTGCTCGACCGTGACGAAACTCGCTTAAATTTATATCGAGACTATGACGCGAGCGAGAACTGCTTTCAAGGAAGGATCCAGGATCGTTTTCCAGGGACAGACGAGAGTCCATTCGTGACGCGTTGACGAGTCACGAGATTCACGGAGTGCAATATCCGACGCGCTCGACCTGTTTCGTCGGACGGGGATAACAAAGTGTCAAGGTGCAGCCAACTAAATCGTACTCGACTTACCCATGCTTCTCAAGTGACGGGCGTTTGCTCGCACCTGTTGATCCTCGCAACGCGGCGTCTCCTCGTCGACTGAGCTGTTTGGTCTTCGGTCTTCGTCTTCCCCGCTCGAGGACCGTTCTCGTTAGAGAGTACGGATAGTAATCTCCGCCGATCCGCGCTACGAGCTCATGAGAAGAATACTGATTGCAAAGTATTGTTACTTTAGCATTTTGTGAATATTCAACACATCGTGATGACTAATTTTAAAATGTTACAATAAAATTCAACATTTAATGTACTATTGCTGCGATTGAAAGCTTATATATTTTCTTAATTTTTATATACGAAACAGCTTGGACAAGTAGCTTCTGTTGATATCAATCAAGCTTCTGTTATCAACTATAACTCATTTAAATAAAATAATTCCAATAATTAAATATTTCCTGAAACAAGCTGTGTTAACGGTACAATCCCATCGTGAAATCGTGTCGCATTTAGGGCTTTAGAGTGTCTTGATTCGCTGTTGAGTACAGGACGCTTCAAATGCGAGAATCATCGGGGAATCGCGCGTTTCATAGGTAATCGGCTTCCCGCCGTACCAGATCGCTTTCCTTTTATAGGTACAGGATGAAACGCCACGCATCATCTTCGCAAATCAAATCGATGAAATAATTGAAGAGCTATGTAGATTAAAAGAGTACATTATAGAAACCAATCTGCAAATGTTTCATTATATGTTCTAGCATTTGCCGTGAATTTTAACTGCGCAAACGGTTATATAAATATAACGTCATCATTAATATATAAAAATCTAAAATTACTTTTTTTCAAACTTATTATTGATTATCAAACTTTTCTCCTTTTGGACAAAAGTTATATTATGAAGTATTGATAAATTGTCACTTTTTTTAGAATATATTATATTGTTTGCTTTTACTTAGTAATTTGATCAATTATTAAGCATGGTGTAATGTTCAGGTGCTAACGGATTTTTGGTAAGTTGAGGATAAAAGGTAGGCGTTATGTGGGTGAGTGGCCTCGTCTTTCCCATATTCGTTAACGATAGTGTCATCGTTAGCCTTGATCAGAAAAAATATACTGAAGAATAAGAACAATTCTAGAAAAAAATTGTATATATTTCTCACTGCAATATTTTAATACTATTAATATTATACTATTAATATTTTAAAATATATTATTAAATGATATTTAAATATTAAAATCTTATAGGATCGTACATGTGAGAAACAACCAATAAGAAATTGCCTTTAACGGTCAAGCTGGATCTTAGATGCTATTATAATTCCATGTGAATTTGTATATTACGTATGTAGTCTTTTAAACCGCGCGCCAAACAATTTTTCGGTCTTGAAACACTCTACGAAACTACCGCAATATCACGAGTTAAATTATCTAGCAATTTAATAATTTTGATGCTGATAGCATCTTGTTGAATCTTAATAATGTTGAATGACATATTAAAATCTATGAATGACATATTAAAAATCTGTAAATAATTAATTTGTATTGCGAAAAATATTACCTCAGCTGAGAGTCGAACCTGGATCTCTTACATTCCGTGCCTTATCAGTTAGATTACCAAGGCCTTAGTAATATTCTTCGCAATAATCAGTCTAAGTAGGAACAACGTCTTTCTCAGACAACGTAAATAAACAATATTTAAATATTAAATCTTATAGAACATATGAGAAGCACCTAAGATCCAGCTCGATCATTAAAGGCAATTTCTTATTGGTTATTATTAAATGGTTATTAAAGTATTGACCATAAAGTAAATCGAGATATGATCCAAAAAATATAGTATTGTAACGTAATTGCCAAAATAATTACTGCTAACAGCTTTCTACGTATCAACCTGTAAGAATATTTGTATCTTTAAAGAAGTTTGTTGCATATAAAAAAATCATATAACCAAAATTTTATAAAGCATTTACATAGTATGAGAGTTTATGTACTTACAAGATCATCAAAATCGAAATTACACAAATCAGAAATATCATCTAATATATCATTGTTACCGATATCTTTTTCCTTTTCTTTAACTGTCTGTGTCATAGACGCATCATTATTATCTGATTGTTTATTATCATCTTCTTGTGATCTTTTACGCCTGAAAAAATATATATTATTACATCGATAATTTTAATCTTAAATCCATTTCAGGTAAATTTTTATTTTAATTTAAATAAATATGCTTACCTCTTAAGAGGCTTCTTTTTCTCTAAGAAAAACAAATTTTGTATTCTTTCGGTCACTGGTTTGCATTTTGTTTTTATGAATTCGGGTTGCTCTAAAAGATTTAATAGATCATCGGCGATAAGCGGCAACGGTTTATCTGGATTAAGCGCGCGAGCTGCTAATACATCCCACACATGTTGCGTTCCAGGATCTGGCATATATCCCGGTAAATATTTGTCACTATTGGCGGTTATGTCATCATCGGTACTAATGTAAAAATTTAATTAACAATATTGTATAAATATTTAAAAAAATATAATATCTTTGTTCTTCTTAATTTATTGGATATCATCGGTAAATTTTTTTTAGAATTCTTTATATAATTTTTTATAATTTTTCACATTTTCTGTATAATTTTACAACTTTTCAAAAAATTTCTGAAACTATTTATATCAATTAAAACATTCTCTGAAGTGCTTTTATAGATATATAAATTTTAAAATATTTTTTAAATTGTTAATATTTTTCATTTTCTACTTATAATTCATAATTTCTAAGGAAAACTTTTATCTAAAAATCTAAACAAATTAAAAATCTTTTTAGAGAAATTTTCACAAAATATACCAAATTCTTAGGAATATTATGAAAAATAGTACAAGATAATTTTCGACTAGGAATATATTATACTTATGTTAAATACATTATATACTTACGCATCGGGCAATTCTAAGGATCTTAATAGATCATCCATTACGTCATTCTGTTCCTGCGACAGTTGGTTCATCACGCTTTTCAATGGTTTCTGCGATATTGCTCCATAATCTCGCTCAAATGGTAAACCGATCTCAATAAGACACTATTATAAAAAATTATAGATTAAAAAATTATCTAATTAGCATTGACGAAAGAAGAAACAATGGAGAGAATATTCTTACCCATGGTTCATTCTCTAAGTCAACACTTGGAAACAGTGCCATCATGTTTGCTTCGGCATTCGCTCTATAAACCTTCTCTACTATTGCGACAACATTTTTCTCAACCATGGCTTGCACTAAACTATAAAACGGCGTACTCGCTATCTGTAAAAGAATTTCTCATTCATTTTTACTGTTCATCATTGAAATACTTTATGGCAATTATACAAAGTGTTGTTGTTGATAGGGTCAAAAAAGGTGGTATCAAACTTTAGTAATATGTAGCAAGAATAAACCAAAAGATATTAATAAGCAATATTCTAAAGCCATTTATTCCCAAGCTGTAAAACATTTTCTGCTGTAATGAATAAACCATTCGTTTCGAATGTGTAAACAAATTTACACATGCAACCGATTATACACTCATCCTTTATAAGGTTTCAAGCTTATTGTGATAAAAATTTTTAATTCTCCATTCAGTTTATGTCAGTTCACCCACGCACGCCTGCGTATTGTTGATTGTATCTGATTTTGACACATAAAATTGAATAAATTGTCAACAAATGCGAGATAAACTTCGAACTTTGAACGTGTTTGATCTTCAATAAAAATACATACCGAATTGTATGTTAAAATGAACGGAGAGCACATTTGAACATCTGCTGTAATCAAAATTATTTTTTGCTTTATAACTCGGAAATAAATGGTTTTAAAGTTCTGTTTATTAAGACTTTTCGGTTTGTTTTCACGAATACTACATATTTCTAAAGTTTTGTACCATTTTTATTGACATCCTGTATATAATAGAACTATTACCTCGTTAGCAGGCATAATAACGTAAGAGCCATCCGACAGCCAATATTCCATAGGAATATTTTCTCTCATTGTAAAACCATGAATCTTATAACATTTCTCATTGTTTTTGGGAGTCATAGCTTTCTTAGCTTCATCTACAATCGGCACATACACATGAGTCATTTGAACGTAGAACATTTTTTAAAATAAACAAGAATTACCTGAAACAGGAATAGCTTTGCCACCATACACATAACCACGGATAATATCTTCTTCTGTGTGAGTGGTCCTATTGTTGTCCATCCATTGTGCGACATTCTTAATTGGCACTTCTTTATCAGGTGTATTGGATGTACTTGTCTTAGCCATCAATATCATTTCCGGTAACTTTACCTCCGTCGGCATCTTATAACGTAAATAATATATAAAATATGTGTATGTATACAAAAGAGATAATAACTGTTTTATACATATTAGAACTTTACTTTAGAAATTCCAACGATCGGAATGTGAACTTCACCCAATTCCATCACGCAGTTCCACGGATGCGGTTTAGTAGATGGTCGTTTGTAGAAGCGCACATCTGACATAGCATGTTTAAAAGTGAGATACTGACCATTAATCTGTAGAAGAAATATATATACGCATATATAAATAAAATAAAATATATTGTAGTGACACAGTATAATAAATGTGTGCACATATATATATATATATACCTATTTATAAAATCATTACCATATTCTATATAATTATATACAATATATTTATATAATTTTTATAATTTAATAACTGTTCACACATTTGTTCCCACAGAGAAATTACCTGTTCTAAAATTTTCATAAGTAATGTTTCACTAGGTGTTTGCAAATCTTCATCTATATCATGTAATGCTCTCTCTCCACTATAACATATCAAATTTTTTGTTCTATTTTATATTTTTATTCTAATTTCATGTATAATTTAATATAAATTTGATATAAATTTTATCTATTATTATTAATATTAACAATAAAATTAAAATAATGCTACACTATAGTTAATACATTGCTATAACTGAAATTTCTTCTGAATTTAACATCTGTGTTATATCCTCTGCCTGAAATTCGCCAACAACATCTTCCTCTTCGTTGAAACAAGACATTAGGATTATTTTCCTTTCACACTTATCTCTGCAATAAGAAACATAAAAAATGTAATATACATTAATTAAAATTTAACATCATGCTACATTTAGATATACATTTACATGCATTCATGTTTAATATATTCAACTGCAGCATAAATTGCATCCATCCAAGAACAAATTTGATTTGTGGGTTGCAGTTTCTCGATGCTTTTTATCAAATCCCAATTTCCAAATTGCATGGTACATAGTTCTTGTGCAGTATCTAATCCTGTAATACTGTCGCTTTTACTACCATCTGAGCCCATCAATATCACTCCTATTTCATCCTTAGGACGTAGAAATATCTGCGCAATATGCTCATAATTAACAGAAATTCAGATAAGCGACTGTTAGAGGATGCTTTCCATTTGGTAACACAAGTTAGCACAAGTGCCATTCTAACTTTTAACAATTCGGTCACTTACATTATATTTAAATTAGTGCATACTAAAAATGGTCATATATGAAATTAACAAAATTCAATGCAGAAACATATAAACATTTTAAATAATTAAACATTCTATATAATGATATACAATGTCACATTATATTTAACAAAATATATACATATTATATTTCATTGTCAAGGTTGATTATGTTATGCTACTGCATTTAGATTTTTATATAAAGTAACCTTTTTAATATGTATTAATAATCCAGTGTAGTGCAAGTGACCGAATTCACTATTTGTTTCTGACTGAATGTCAAGAAAAATAGAAGCATCTTGTAATACTATGACAAAAAAGTTACCTTCTTTTGAATAATATGTTTAAGAATAAACTTCTCATTGTCCAACAGTTGTGAATTATTCTGTGTCCCATGTTGGACGATTCCAACATTTATCACAAAAGTTATACTCTCCTATCGACATAAAATACGACAAATTCAGACATAAATATGTAATATATATTTATAATATATAATATATACTTGATATTATAATATAATATATATTGAGAGAGAGAGAGAGAGAGAGAGAGAGGGAGAGAGAGAGAGAATATAATATATACCTGTGATAATTCAAATAAATATAATATATATTTATATAATATAAACAGAATATAATTGAAAAATTTATCGTACAATATTTATAATACAATTTATTAAACGAAAATGTTCTTAAAAATTTGTTAGACTCAAACAGTTTGTTAGATTTTTTAACAAGAAAATATTAGATTACAACCTTTAATGATTTCGGCGGCATTTTTTGCGTTATCGAAGACACTAGAAGACACTTGCAGACATTCAGAGTTTCTAGTAAAAATAAACTCTTTCAATAAAATTCCTGAAACTTCTGTTCGATGTATGTACCAAGTAGTTTTTCATTCAAAACAATTTTTTTCCGAATCAAATCTCGAAATCGAACATAACCTAACTTCGTGTCACGTGAGCACGGCTCCCATGCGTATCAAGTGCGTGCATTGTGCAATGTGCATTGTGCACTGTCAATTTTGATTGACACGTTTGCATTTGTTTGTATCGCTTGTGAATCGTGGTTCGTGCAATTGTTTATAAATAAAATACAAAAATGGTATTTCTGAACGCAAAATTCTTTCTTTTAATAATTCTTAGTCTACTGTTCGTTCAAACGAGTGTAGGGGTGAACAAATACTCCGCCGAGGCAAATGAGGCTAAATATGTTGACTCGCAATTCCCAACGTCTCTCAGAGAATTGGATAAACCTTTTAGGATGGCAAAATTGAATGTAGTTTGGGTTAAAGCTAAAAATGTGAGTAACGGATTGAACACAGAATATAATTAAAAATATAATAAGTAAATTTTTTTTTTCAAGACTGGCTTAATTATTATTATATATATATACATTTTTTAGAGTAAAATTATATTTCAAAGAATTTAGAGTATGTATATTTTTTACATATAATTATATGTGAGTAAATACTCTTTATTTCTAATTTTACATGTGAATATTTATTTCAGCGTTTAACAGATAGCAAACTGCAATCGATTTTCAGTGAGCTGAAGATTCACGATAAAGAAGAAATTGCGTACAAGCATTTCAAATCAGATGGAAAAGATCCTGATGGCTTAGAAGAGGCACATCTGAGACAGAAGCTCATCGGTAATTTTTATCATTCAATTACTTTTATCTCAATTGTTTTATTAAATAATAGACTAATCTCTGTAACTTTCCATCAAAGGAATAATGAGCACATATGGCCTATTGGAACACTTTGTTGAGACCGAAGATCCAAAGTTACTTAAAATACACAAACCTCTAAACGATGGTAGCAATTATGTTGCAAAGGATGTATTTAATGATATAAGACTGAATAAATTATGGGCTAAAGCTGAAATGGCTGGTTTTACTGGTATGTTTTAATTATTGATATTACATTAATAAAAGTATATCTTACAAAAAAATTTAATTTAGAATTATAATTTTGTTTTTATTTTAGATGAGGAGCTTGAAACCTTAAAACAAGAGTTTCAACATCATCAAGATAAAGTGGACGAATATATGAGTTTATTGAAAGAACAGTCTAAAGATTCAGAGAAGTCTGAAAGTTAGTCTTTTATATATTCACATATAGTATATATAGTTTTAAATTAAAATGTTATTTTTATATTAATGTATATCGTCTACTATATATATTTTAGATGTCTTACATCTTAAATCGGAAAGCTGGAACGAGTTGGAACAACAGGAGGAATCATCAAATAATATACCGGATCAAAAAATAAATCACATGGAGAAGGCAAATTTACTTCGGTACTATCATATGTTATGAAAGATATATGTGTGTATGAATTAATTTTTCCGACTGTTTTTTTATTCAGGGAAAAGCATTTAGATCTGAGAAATGGATTTGATCGTTTAGACAGACTCACTGCAAAAGGGCCAAATCATAAAGAATTTATAGAACCTAAAGTACAAGGATTATGGAAAATTGCACTGGAAGCAAAATTCTCTCCTGAAGAGTTATCATCTTTAAAGGTATGGTAATAACTATAATTTAATATCATATTTTCATACATTTATCTGTGAAAATAATTATAAACTATAATTATGAGTGCTAAATAGTAAATGTTAAGAAAGCCAATATCCAAATTTTCATAATTTAGATTATTAATTAAATGCATTTCGATTATATTTACATTAAAATGAATATATATCGCAGGAGGAACTTTTGCACTATGAATCAAGGTTACTAAAGCTGCGACATTTACATGCAGAGGAAGCTCTAGGAACAGTACAGAAAAAGGAACTTCATGATTTAGAAAATTCAACTAAAGAACAACACTTAAAGAAACATATTAGAACTATACAAAAACTTCATACCGATCTAGAAACCAAAATCATGCAGAGGCATTCGGAATTATAAAGAAATTATATAAGAAAAAAGCTATAGATAATTGTCATTAAAAAAAATTCCAAAATACATGCAATCTAATTACTATATATAAAGCAGAAATAAATAATTATTTATCGTAAAATAAATGATGAAATAATTATCTATGGAAATGTTTATATTCAAACAATTTGTTGACTTACATCCTTAGCAACAATTTTTACTAAATAATTTTGATGATTTTCTAACAAAACTTAAATAGATTTGTATTGTATAAAGCATTTAAGATATATATATATATATAATATATAAATAATTTGTACTATAAATAGAATCTCCTATGTGAACAATGTATGAACAAACTGTAGGGAACTATTTTATTTTTTCTAAGTCAAGTACATAAAAAATGGAAGAATGTGAAGATTGTTTTTGAGTACATTTTTATAACATCTTCGATAATTAAATTACTAATTATAAGATTATAATTACAACCCAGTTGCCAGTTTATTATTATTATTAGTCTTCTTCTTCTCTTTCGATCTCCCTTGATCCTTTGATCCGACTAGTTTCTCACACTCACACCAAGGTGTGCTTGATTTGTCACACAGTAGAGAGATATTAATAACTGTTAGGGAAGTGTCTGATATAGTCATCTTAATTGTATCCAGTATTTTATACGAGACATTATTCAAGCCAGTTTGTCGATCTCGTTTCCTAGTAACTTCTCGCTGATTATAACACTTCGTCATATCTCTCTTTCTATGATTTCTGTCATGTATATGCCTATAATACATATTTCATATATAATACTTGATAGAGCAATATTGTATGCAATAAGTATATACCTTATATCTAGTTTTATTCAACATCTTACTATGAATACAGAAATTAACAAAGTCTATAAAATGAATCTTACCTAAATGTATTATGTGTTCCTGTTGTTATATTTTGTGGACGATTGATGCTCAAGCCTGCCTCTTTCAGTCTAACATAAAATTCATCATCTTCAAGACCCCATCCCCAATATTTATTTGACATCCCATTTACTTGTATGAAATGTTCCCTACAAATATTCAACAATAGTAAACCGTGAATTATCTCTTTGTGGTTTAATATCACATTTCTTATTATTATTATTGCCAAAATTCAGCTTGAACTGTAATTAGTGCTTCTTTACTTATTTTATTTTTTATTCATATAACGATCTAAATGTAACTTAGAATACCGTTTATTATTACAGTTTCAAATTAATAAGTAATATACCTTTTAATCAGTAATATACCGCCAATAAAGGTAAAATAATGATATCGGGGATGTAAGTTTGGTGACGATATATGATAAGGTCCTGCACTTGGATACGCATAAGATAATTGATCATTCATTGGCAACAGATCAACATCGTGCATTGCAATATAATCAAACGCTTTCTCTGTTTCAAGAAAGCCGACGTTTATAAGAGACGCTCGATTGAATCTATATCTATCCACCTGGGAAAACAATTAAATATGAGATTTAAGTATAATAGTATTTTTTGATTACTTACAAGATTTTCTAAGACTACAATACCTGATTTAATACAAATATATGATAATCTATGTTTTGTTTGTCTAGAAATTTCTGCATATGTGGTACGAATATCAGTAATTCTTCAAAACGATCCCTAAATGGCACTAGTATGGCTAACTGATGCTCAGCTTTCTTTTTACGTCCATTGATCTCATCAGTTATGTGCTTGAGATGTTGATTTGGTTGAGCATTTGCTTCACACTTGCACTCATCTGAAATAATGAAATTATATTTAAAAAAAAAACCTGTTTTACATATTATATTATGTTTTTCACAAGGAATGGGAAGTTACTTTTAAAAGTAACAAGTTACAGTTGCTCGTTACCGAGTAGAAAAAGTAACCAGTTATCATTCATTATTAACTCGTTACTTTTTAAAAATCAGTCTAAAAAATGTACTTTTGCAATATTTTTGTTTAAATATTAATAGAAACAATAGTTATCCAAAAAGCAACTTGTAACTTTGTTACAAGTAACGAATTTACTTCCATTTCCTGGTTTTTCAATATGTCAATAACTAACCGATACTGATGGGAGATATGCTGATTATACATGATGTGACGAAGGTGATAAAAATACAAGCAAAGATATATTTAAATCTTGTGCTTTTCCAAATGTTATCCATGTTAAATAACATTTATAGAGATTATCTCATAAAATAGACTGCAGGTATTAATTGATAGAGAGATATTGCTTTAATGTTCCACTGATATTTGTCAATAGCATGTCTTCTTTCTTGAAAATGAAAAGTTTTCTCCAGAAAGGAGTATTATTATTATTATCAGAGAAAATTTTAAGTGCTCAATCGTAGCAGAAAAAGGCAAGCCTAAAGACAGTATAATTTACAGTGTTATTCTTAAAATTACTTTTGCAGTTGTGATTAATAATGCAATTGATAATCAAAAGAGTATTCACTATTCTGACATAGAATTGTTGTGAAATATTTCATGAGAAGCGCATTTCTTTGAAGGACTATCGACAGACGTCGCAAAATCTCTCTTTTCGACCTTTCCCGAGTTCGTGTAACACGAGCTACCTGCTCAGCAATGCTTCTTTGTTGGAGTACCAAGTGTCTCTCGTTACACTACAGCTCGTACGACAAAATTGCTCCGCGAGCGTCGTGTTCGTGTAAAACGCACACGTCTCTCGCACACTTCTTGCGAGCATCACGTAATAATCCGACTCTCGTGCACGACTCGTGCATCGTCGACTTCTAGTCTGTTTTAGTCGTGTTCTAGTGATGCTCCCAACAGTCACAGCTCGCCCGAACCCACGTCGTTCTCAATAATTCTGATCGTTTATGTCATTTCGTAGCAGAAACTCGTCGTCGCAATTTGACAATCTTGACAGGTCTCAATGCGCGCTGTCACTTTGCGCCGACTCGCATGCCTCCAGCATGCTCTAGGCTCTAGCACGTTTCGCGATTTTCCGGAATTCGATACGTTCTGAAATTCCGTCGAGAAGGTCTGTTCGTTGTACCGTATCGTATTCCTGCACTTAAAATGAGATAGATATATATAATTGGAAAAGAAAAAAGGGGAATCCGAAGATTTGCTTTTTGCTACTAATATATATATTATAGCTGATTGAAGTTTTTGTACTTTATATCTTTCCTATATTCTTATCTAATTTACGTAACTCTATATCTCACTTGTCAGTTTAAATACAAAAATTTCAAGTACAAAAGTAGATACAAAAGAGTACAAAAGTGTATGCAAAAAAGTACTAAAATATAAGCAAATACGAGAATACCACAAAAGAAATTTATAAATAATAATATTATAGATTCTTTTTATAACTGAATTGTTTATAATGTTTATATACGAAAATTTCTTTTTTCTTTCTTTTAAAACAATTAGACAAAAAAAAAAGAGAAATATTTCAGAGAGTGCATAAGAATAAAAAATATATTTTATTTTAAGTGCAGAAAGTGTAACATGTGAAAGTGTACATAAAAAAAAACTTATTTTTTAAACTGTAGTCTTTGTTTTGTTTTTTACAATATGTTTCTTCTTCCTCTTCTTTACAATTCAAATATATTTTTTCTCTTTTACTTTTTTCTTCAAAGATACGCTCTATCTGCAAATGCAAAGCAAGCGCAACTAACGAATAAACCCATAGTCATAGCGTCGTTCATTCTATCCTCCTTCAATGAATGGATTACGTCATCGAGGTGTAGGATTGGGTGTAGTTCGTTACAATTCGATGGACTGTGGAGTGTGGAGTAGTCATGTCAAGGGTGTTGTCCGTGTGTGATTGACTCGTTTAAGAAAAGATGTGGTTCCAATATTTCACATTATTACTGTTCCTGTGCTGTTTGAAGTTACATCAAATTTACGGTAGTGCATTTTTTTAGACGGATATCCCAGAAGCAAGATTAATCGATGGCATCATATAGAATACAATCATACTTTGTATTACGCATCAAATTACGAATATTTATCTCAAAATAATCATATTTTATATCAAATTAACGTATTTTTAATCTGATTTAGTCTTTTGTTTTGTGATGATACTTGCACCAACTTGCAATTCAACTTTATTTATATATTATGGGGAGTGTATATGGGATCTATTCTTTACACTGGACTGAAAAACTTTCTTGTTTCACCAAACTTTAAATATTTACATACATATATTTCATTTTAAATGCAAGTATATTTTAGTTCAGCCACAAAGAATAGATCTCTGGAATGTTGAAATATAGAATGTGCTATGGCTGTGTTTCAAAATTTACTGCCAGTACTGAAAATCTATAGTGTATGCGATGTAAAATATATATTAATTAATTTTAATTACTGTATGTATTAACTGACAGGCCAAAACATCAACAACACACTCACATGGTGTACAGTCTCTGAAGGCGAACAGAATAAATGTCAGGCCTTCTCCAGAGCGATTGATCGTGAAAGAGGATTTTTTGGCGATACTTATTTTTCGGTGCGATGCCAGCAAGCTTTCAACAAAGAAGAATGTATGGCCATGCTGGATCGCGAGAAGGCACAGATAACAACACTGGATGCTGGAGAAGTTTTTATAGCTGGACGATATCACAGTCTTGTACCAATAATGCAAGAAATATATGAAAATGGTTTAAATTATCAATATGCTGTCGCAGTGGTTAAGAGAAACTCTCTACCTGATGTACAGTCATTATATGATCTCAGAGGCAAGAAGGGCTGTTTTGCTGGTGTTGGGACACTAGCGGGTTGGGTTATTCCCATTAATAAAGTGAGTAAAATTTATAGATTGTGATATAAAGTATCTTCTGAATGTAAACATTTTTAACACACTTATATGCAATTCAATGTATTTTTATCAGCTTATGAAATATGGAGGAATGGAAATTATTGACTGCAATAATCATGTAAAATCAACGATTAAATTCTTTGGGCCTAGTTGTGCAGTAAACTCATTAATTGATAAAAACAATCCAATTGGTAAGTATAATATAAGTCTATGTTTTTGTAGTTGAATTAGTAACTGAAAAGTAATTAATTTATTGAAAGAAATAAAACAATTAGCGCACATTCGCTTGCGTACTCGTCCTTTGTGCTGGAAGGACCAGAAGTGACTGACATAAAATTGTCACATCACAATGTGTGTGACATTTGGTGAAAGTAAAATAAAACGTTTTATACATTCTCATTATTGTAAATAATTAAATCTCGATTTATTTTTTATTTTATTTTTTCTAATTTTTGAAACGAGAAAAATAAATAGTAAATTGATCTAAGACTAAAATTAATCTACATTGATAGACATGGATTTGCTTCATTGCAAATGGATGTAGTTCATTGCAATGACAAAGAACACAGGTTCAAAATATAAATGCACTTTCATTCTACAGTTATAATCTAGGGATTCAATTGTAGGTGATAATTCTGATCAGTTGTGTAGCCTGTGCATTGGAGAAATACCCGGTGGCAAATGTACAAACAAAGATCCTTACTCAGGATACGAGGGAGCTTTTCGCTGCTTGGTTGAAGCGGGTGAAATTGCCTTTTTGGTGCATACGACTGTAAACGAGATGACATCAACGTCATTTGACTTCAGTATGCAGCTTTAGAAGTAAAATTTTCAAAGACTAATAATCGGCGTATTACTCATTTTATAATTCTTGTTATTTAGGTTCCGTGAAGAAAGAGCAATTTGAACTGCTATGCCCAAACGGTAATCGCAGGTCTATAGACGATTATGCAACTTGTAATTGGGGTACTGTGCCATCTCGTGCAGTAGTCACATCTTCGGCGACAAACTTCAAAACTCGTCGAAGGTATCAAAGATTTTTGGAGAAGACTGTTCGAATATTGCACAAGAATAAAAATGGCACAACAAACTTCAATCGTTTCGGCGGCAATCAGGAAGATTTCTTGAACCGTCCGGGTTACGACAATAATCAGAGAGATTTCGAAAATCGTCCGGGTTATGATAGCAATCAGAGGGATTTTGAAAACCGTCCGGGTTACAACAGATTTGGTGAGGGTGACTATAGAGGCGGATTTAGAAATCCAAATGAATATGGTACGGACCATTGGAATCGTAGCAGATATGACCGAAGATTTGGGGGTGGTGATGGAAGAGGAGGAGTAGAGAGTACACACAACGACACATTCAATTATTATAATAGAGAAGGAGAAAACTCTGAACCACCGAATGTGCAACCAATAGAAATGTTTGAATTATTTGAATCAGCACCCAAATATGGATTGCAGCATAATTTAATATTCTCTGTAAATCTTAATGTTTTCGTATTTTGTTTGTTATTCATTTATTTAGAGCTTATCTATAATGCATACCATTTTTCTAGGATTCCTCTCGCGATTTTGTACAATTGTACGAAAAGGATCAAACATACACAGGATATTTAGGACAATCTGTAAATGATATATTAGGAGTACATCATTGTCCCGTAAATCGGATGACATTGTGCGTTACATCCGAGCCAGAAATGGAAAAATGCATAAAAATGAAGGTACAATTTAGATTATATATACGTAAAATATTACAGTTTATGTTTTTTTTGTTCAAACATTTAAACATTGTTTGTCATTTTTCACAATAAGTGCTTTACAGATTTTATAATATTAGTAGCATAAAATTTAGAAGGATTATTGCTTCAATTTAATTGTGTTGTAAATCCAAAAAATAATCAGCGCATAGTCATATTATCATATATTTGACAAAATTTATGTAAATTAGATCATTTCAGTATCTGTTTTTGACTGTAAGCGGCTCTTCTCTCACTTTAATACCCTTATTATATTTGTAGATTGCCTTAAAAGCCCAGCTTTTGAAACCAGAATTAATTTGTCATAAAGGTCATAGTCAAATAAATTGTATGCAATCAATAAGAAGCGGGTACGTGTAAAATACATTGCATTTAAACGTGTATACATATATTCTGAAATGAAATTACGGACGTTATAGTTTTATTTTTCTTACGGTAGAATTGCCGATGTAGCTGTATTAGATGCCAGTGATGTCTATACCGCTGGACTGCAATTCGAACTGATTCCGTTTATATCTGAGGTGTACAATTTGGGTACACCGGAGTATTACGTTGTCGCCGTCGCGAAGGAGGAGGATGACAATACAGATCTGACGTATCTAAAAAATAAAAACACTTGTCACACGGGAATCAATACGGCTGCAGGATGGGTTTATCCGCTGGCATATCTTATTTCTAACAAGTGGATCAGAGGATACGGTTGCGATTCTGTGCGCGCTGCCGCTGAATACTTCAGCAAATCCTGTGTGCCGGGCGCACTCAGCACTGAATATAATATAGGTAGCTGAAAATAACTTTAACACTAAAAATTTTAGCTAAAAATTTCTAACTAAAAGTTCTAAATGAAAAAAGGTTGGTAATTTTTCGAAGTTGGCAATTTGAAAACTAATAGAATAAAATAGAATAAATTGATAAAAGTAGCAAATTCTTTCGTAAAATAATTGCGTCTGTAATCTTTTTTATCTAATATTTGATTAATTAGTTATTTATCGTTTGTAGGTGTGCCTTATGATAACATGTGCGATTTGTGCCACGGGGTGAGCTACCGGTATTGCCGAAGAGACGCTTCCGAGGATTACTTTGGTTACACAGGTGCTTTTAGATGTCTGGTAGAGGGAGGTGGTGACGTATCCTTCGTGAAACATACGACGGTCGCAGAGAACACCGATGGCAAGCGCAAAGAATTTTGGGCACGCAACACTTTCACAAAAGATTTTGAATTGCTTTGCCCAGATGGTACGCGCCGCCCAACAACAGATTACATGAACTGCAATTTAGGCAAAGTTGCTGCCAATGCTATAGTTACGCGCGGTGGTTATTACGGTTATAACCAGACACAGATTAACGCATATATCAATCTATTTATATACGCACAACAGTTCTATGGCCGAAAGGAACCGGATGAATTCAGCTTTAGCATGTATTACAGCCGACCACCTTACAGCGATCTCATTTTTCAAGATGCTACTCAGCAGTTGGTGGTAATCCCGTCGGATAAGCGGGAGTATAGCAAGTACCTTGGCCCAGATTTTATGAGAGCCAGAAGAATCGTAGATTGTAACGCAGGTGCATCTGCGATAAGTTACTCGTTGTTTGCTACAATAATTATGATTGTGTTTACCTTTGCATTTGGTAGATAAGTATCATGTCCGCGATTTACACGAATACGCGAACAAAAATTCGTATCGAGATCACGATCGAAGAATAGAGATCTGACAAACGAATCTAATATAGTCCATTTTATTAATTGGCACAATATGTATATTATAGTTAGCAATCTAGTATATTTTAATGCTGCTACATAATGCTAATATTAGGTTTGTTTTTTGTGGCTGAACTAGTGTACACTTTTAGAACTTAAAGTGATATTTTTAGGAAGCGAGAAAGAGAGTTCTAGTTCAGTCTAGTGCAGGAACAGAAAACAGACCAATTTTTAAAGATATATTCTAAATATTATTCAAATATTGTTTTATATATATTTTACACGTATATTTTTATAAAAGTACAAATGACTGAAAGACGGAGTGGAATATATAAATTTAAGCATTACCGCTGCCTTTGCATCCATCCAATGGAGTCATATCTCTAAATGTATCCGTCCATATATAAAAATTTATTAATCTGGTAATTTTAAGAATTATTGTATTTAAAATAATTTGATATACTCGTATGTAAGTATATTTTATACTGCTCACTAATTTTTTGTAGTAATAAATCTTTATAAAATTCATGTATTTTGACATTATTCCATGCCGTCCATGTAGATCTCTAGTAGAAAATTAACGGAAGATGTGAAATGAGATAAAACTTGTTCATAAATCTAGACTTTATGATGGCGAAACATCAGAAGTATGTAGAATGACGTACGATGACAGAAAAGATTGAAATTACAATTGAATAACGATCGGAAAAAAGAGACCATTAATTGCTTTGGCTGTCAAAAATTCACGTAAATCTTAAGTTTGGATCAAAATTTCTAAAGTCAATAATTCTTAATCCGCCTCTAATAATTCGAATAATGTAATTTTAATAAAAATCTCGACGTTGAATATTAAAGTTCTCTCATTAATTGAAAAAACAAATAGTTCCTGCAAGGAAATAGTCCACGATAAAGCGATATGAATAGTGACACTCGGTCAACGAATACATTTAAACACGAAAAATTGGGAAAAGGACCTAACACGCAAATTGATAGACGCAATAAGTCCCAAGTAGTATTCCTGTAAAATCAAAAATATAGTAACATAACACATTAAAATATATACGTACAGGTAACCGATGCTCATCAAATATTTGACAATTTGAATCAATCCAGTCAACAAAAGCAGAAACTAGATTCTAACTTAATATCGACATCGTCTTCATCTACAAAACATACTAATTCTGTGACAGGTGAAATCTTGTATTGTTGATTGCAAATAATTTTTATTTCTAATTACAAGTTGTCACATATGTACAGTAAATAATAATATATTATAGTTGTGTTATAGTCTTTTTTCATTTATATTGATGTAATAATTCGTCACTTTGTTCTATGATTTTTTCTAATTATCAACTGCAAACATTTTTAATTTTCAGGTAAACACCAAGTCCGTAAATTAGTAGACAGCAAGCAAGTTCCGTTTCATCAATTTGACAAGAAGACTTTTTTTCTGGATACTTATGCCCGTATCGTTGCCAGCAACAACAGACGTTGCCCTAAGCGATTGCGTGAACTTGCTAAACCGAAGAGACAGGCTCGTAGCGATCAAAATGATTATGCTACGCATTTCAATCTAAATTACAATCATGTAACTAAAACTTATCGTACGGAAGACAAACGCAACTTGAAAGAGTTAAAGAAGAAATAATCACAATAGATTGATTTAAACAATTTGTCAGCATGTGATTACTTTAGTTTCAACTCAATAGAATTTAAAAAAATATCCTGGAAAAATATCTATATATTATATAAAGAACGTTTAAAAAATTAAAAAAAACTTTCAGACAATTATTTTTAAGCATCTATATTTTTTTAGGAAATAAAATAAAAAATGTTTCTACTCTTGTATAAAAGAAAATTATGAGAAAGGAAGCTAATGCAATAAAGTAATTGGATTTCATATAACTCTTTCCTGTAGTAAGACTGGATTGTTGATATGTAATATCTTTCCTGCTCTAATCTTTTCTTCTCGTTATATATGTGTATTCCTCGCGTGTTGAGGAAAATATAACAACCTACACATCAATTAATATTCAACACAATCAGTTCGCAATTATCATTTACAATATCATTTGAAAAATGTATGCCAAGAGGAAAAAATGACGATGTTGCGAACTGTGACCATTGGAGATAAACGTAGAGATGATTTTTGCAAGTCGTTGATTTATCTGCACCTTTCGTCATGGATAATCGTATTAATTCCCGCTTCGTTTTAGTTCAAAATCCTGTGCGCGTGCATATTTGAATTACAAAACCGTGCATGACCTCACGTACGCCTTGCTGTTTGTGGGAAATATTCTCGTATGATAGAGCCTAGTTTCCCAGAAAGACAATTGCGATTAAACGCGCGCGTCTTCCTCCTCACGGTTGGATATATAAAAAGGCCTCGTAATGCCCTTGAAATGTTTTTAGTGCTCGCTGGTGCGGTACTTAACGTGTTTAACCGGTTTCACGTGCGTAAGTTTCCTACTTGCATTAAACTCGGACAGTCCAAACTGTCTTCCTCTGCAAAAACATCATGAAGCGCTTGTTCGTTATTCTCTTGAGTGTCACTATCGCGTTCGCCGATGATAATCTCACCGACGAAGAACATGAAGTCACCGCTCCGATTGGAAGAATTCGCGGTTCCATCATCATCTCCAGACTTGGCAAGAAAATCTATTCCTTCCGCGGCGTGAGATACGCCCAATCGCCGACCGGACAACAACGTTTTCAAGTAAAAGGATCAGATATTGCCAGGATTGCGAAGTAACATTATCAATTACAACTTTGTTTTGTGTTATACGCATTATTTTTTTTTTTTTTACAATGTGTGACTGTTTTCAGCAATGGTCATTATTAGTTCCTTCTACGATAGCGGAAATGAAAACTGAAATGGAATACTACACCCAGTTCCACCAATGTAAAGATTAACTTTAATACATCTTTATCTTTTTTAATTCTTTAGCAAAATGCTCTCAAAACGTTCTGCAAAGAGTGTATGATTCCAATATACTTTTCGCACACTTTTCAGAAATCCAATTTGATACTGGCTAACTTAATGATAATGACAGATTAATTACTCAATCTCTATTATAGTACTTGAAATTTTATTTCAAATAAAATTTCAAGTACTAAGATTGAGGAGCACTGGACAACAACATTTTTAATACTTAAAATAAGCAATTGTAATATCACTATTATCCAATGATTCTAGTATTCTGTAATTTTTATTGAAACTTCGCTCTATAAGCGCAGAATCTACATATATATTATAAGTATACAAAGCATTCTGATATACGCTTCGTGCACATTTCTATGGCATTATCAGCACAATATAAATACTTCTTAATCCTTATTTTATGTCTAATAAACAAAAAAATAAAATAACACATATATAGCGTTCCTCGAATGTTGTAGCATAAGAAAAATTTAAATATTTTTTACACTTTTTAACTAACATTTTTTTAATGTATGTTAATATCTTCTCGTTACTTTTCTTTCAAATTAATAAGAACTTTAGTCTTTTAGTTACTTTTATCACAAATACTGCATTATAAAGTGCATGCTATCAGTACTATATTTGCCTTATTTTATTTCTGTTTCATGTCTAATAATAAAAATAAAATTACGTAATAGTACTGATAGCGTGTGCTTTCTCTCCGAACGTAGTCTATATAATTTAAAGAACTAAAATGAAATTATTGTGTGTGACAAACATAAATTACATAAAGAAAATTGAAAACTTCTCAAAATGTTAAAGAAGTACATATAAATGATAAAATTTTACGTTTCTTAGAAGTTCCGTTGACTTTCCATTGACCTTTTGCGATTTCGAATGTTACCATACCACGCTCTCTGATGAATGCACCGTATAGTGTATCAAGTATTATGGAGTATTCTTATTACGATTTCCATACTTTTTTATAATTCGATTCGATATGTTTCAAATTTTGCCTCTTACAAATTTCATTTATACATTTAGATATTATATTTTTTTCTTGCATTATAGATTTACTCCTCAATTAATACACTTTAATTGATATTTGTTTTATGTTTTATTTTTGCTAGCAATTAAAAACAATTGCTAACAATAATTAAAACTTACAATCCAATAATTTATTGGCAAGAATAAAGTCAAAGCTTATCAGACTAGACTGATTTTTTTTGTTTCATCTAGGTCGCAATTCCAGCGACAGATTGGAATGATGTTTTCGATGCGACTAAAGAAGGACCCGCCTGTCCAGCATTATACGAACGGAATATAATGGAGGATTGTCTCCGTGTGAACGTCTACACAACGAAAGTGAGTCTCATGATGTAACATATATATTCACGTTGAAAAAGGTATGAAGTCACTAATTGAACAATTATATCTTGATTGCAGTTACCGTCGGAGAACGATCCTGTAAAAAGACCCGTACTAGTATTCTTCCATCCCGGTGGTTTTTACTTATTCTCGGGCCAAAGTTCTAATTTTGGACCTCAGTACTTGCTGGACAAAGACATCGTTCTTGTCACCGTCAATTACCGTCTTGCGTCACTAGGTAAAATCTTGTGTTTTACCTTTCCAATAATTCGGACTGCAAGCGATAAAATTCCGAGCGAAATTTAAAATTGCAAGAAAAATAACGATTTGTAAAACGATTAGTCGAGATTACATAGCTATAGTAATAATTCCAAGAAAATTAACAAAAAATTGCTTTCTTTAACAACTGTTTGTGTTTATCCACATTAGGCTTTCTAAGCACTGGCGATTCGAAGGCACCGGGTAATGTGGGCCTGAAGGATCAAGTTGTGGCGCTTCGATGGGTCCAGAGGAACATAGCCGCCTTCGGCGGCGACCCCGATAACGTTACTATATCCGGTTACAGCGTCGGTGGAATAAGCGTATTGTTGCACATGGTTTCACCAATGTCCAAAGGATTGTTCCATCGGGCGATCATGATGAGCGGCTCGATGATGATAGAACCGTATCCGACTGAGCAACTGAACCTGGCGAAGAAGCAAGCTGAATTGTTAGACTGTCCAATCGATACCACTGGCTCTATGCTGATCTGCTTAAATTCCAAACCAGTAGAGAATTTTACGGACACCATACACAATTTCTTTGTAAGAAAGATTACGTATAAGACAAGATTAATAAATAATTGAAATTAGATGATTTTGTTATGTAACTTTGTGACGTGTTTTTGTCAGTAAGAAAAATCTAGTAAATAAAATTAAATATATCCGGTAAATACTAATTAACATAAAATAATATCAATGTTATTATTTTGCACTCAACAAAATGATTATTATTATTAACAAAATGATTCTTATTAAATGTAAAATTATAACATTTATGTTACTATTATATTGATGTTTACTGGATAATTGTTTTGTCAAACAATAGAAATTTAGAAAAACAATATTACCTATGTATATATAATATCGTAGAAAAGTGAAAAAATAAGAAACGTATATAAAGATTCGATTTATTTTCAAATGTTTAGATAAAAAAAATATTTTTTAACATACTACGACATTTTAGGAGTGGTATGGTCATCCAATCATGATATGGACACCCGTAGTGGAACCTGAGGTTCACGGCGTAGAAAGATTTCTACCCGAACAGCCCCTTGATCTAATTAAAAAAGGGAAATTTCATAAGGTTCCGTTGATTGCAGGAGTTACTAAAAATGAATTTGACGGTGTAGTTGCTTGTAAGAATCTTTTAAATTATTTGTACCTTTTTGTAATTTTTATTCAATTTTTAAGTTAATTGCAAATAGCTAAAATTACAGAAATTAATACTTATATAATATATTCCGCTGATCTTTTCAGTTGTTAACAAACAACATCAACTCGGGAATGATTCGATGGTAAATGATTTGAACAATGACTGGTACAGACTCGCACCAATTAATTTTATGTACGAGCGGGATACACCTCGGTTCAGAAACATAAGTACCGAACTGCGCCAATTTTACTTTGGTGACCAACCGATCGGTCCAGACACTTACGATGGTCTCGCACATGTACATAAATTGTTATTATAATAAATATAATGAAATAATAATACATTTGGAACAAATAATATTAATCAATTAATGTATCATAAATAAAAATAGGTAACTCTGTATATAATTGTATTTTATATTTTAGATCAATAGTGACAGCATAGTTATATTTCCATTGCATCGTGCTGTAAAAGTGATCGCAGAAAACACCGACCAACCCGTCTACTTATATATGTCTTCTTACGTAGGACGCTACAGTTTTGTTATGTGGAACGAAACCAAACCATACGGTATTATTTTTGTTTATATTTCACTTTATGATTCAAATTGTCCAAACTGTTTAATATCACTTCACGATTTGATTTTTATTTAACTTCTGCATAAATTATATATGCTTAAATTTGTTATTTATTTTATCATTCTAGGCGTGGCGCATCATGACGATTTGCAATATCTATTCTTTATGAAAGTCAAATTCCCATTCTTCCAAAACGATGATCCAGAAATTCCTATAGTGGAACTTATGACAAGCATGTGGTCGAACTTTGTTCAAACCGGACAGCCGGTGTCTTCAGTTTTAGCAGAGAATATTACGTGGGATCCATACCTACTAGCAAGAGACAACTATCTAGATATCACTGAGGAACCGAGAATGAAGACAGGGCTTTATCCCGATAGAATGCAAAAATGGGACAGTTTGTTTCCTTTAAATCTGAAATAGAAATTAGTTCAATATTTAAAATCG